TCTCAATCTGTTTCAATTTAGCTCCATGTATCACATAATCTAGGATGTGGGTGGCACTGTGGGTTAAACCACAGAGCCCAGGGCTTGCCAATCAGAAGGTTGGCAGTTGGAATTCCCGCGACACGGTGAGCTCCCGTTGCTCAGTCCCAGCTCCTGCCAACCTAGCAGTTTGAAAGCATGTCAAAGTGCAAGTAGATAAATAGGTACCGCTCCGGTGGGAAGGTAAATGGCATTTCTGTGTGCTGCTCTGGTTCGCCAGAAGTGGCTTAGTCATGCTGGCCACATGACCCAGAAGCTGTACGCTGGCTCCCTCGGCCAATAAAGCGAGATGAGTGCCGCAACCCCAGAGTCATCCACGACTGGACCTAATGATCAGGGGTACCTTTACCTTTACCTATCACATAATCTTGACTTTCATGGCATTTTTAAAACTTGGTTTATAAATTATCATGGCATAAAGGTAAAGGACCCCTGGACAGTTAAGCCCAGTCAAAGGTGACTATGGGGCTGCAGCGCTCATCTTGCTTTCAGGCCAAGGGAGCCGGCGTTTTTCCACAGACAGCTTTCCAGGTCATGTGGCCAGCATGACTAAACCGCTTCTGTCACAACAAAACACCGTGATGGAAACCAGAGGGCACGGAAACGCTGTTAACTTTCCTGCCACAGTGGTACCTATTTATCTACTCGCTCTGGTGTGCTTTCAAACTGCTAGGTTGGCAGGAGCTGGGACAGAGCAATGGGAGCCCACCCCATTGCAAGGGTTTGAACTGCAGACCTTATGATCGGCAAGCTCAAGAGGCTCAGTGGTTTGGAACACATTGCCACCCACGTCATATCATTTCCTTGGTATATATGGTACAGTGGTACCTCGGGTTACAGACGCTTCAGGTTACAGACGCTTCAGGTTACAGACTCTGGAAACCCAGAAATAGTACCTCGGGTTAAGAACTTTGCTTCAGGATGAGAACAGAAATCAATGGCGTGGCAGCAGAGGGAGACCCCATTAGCTAAAGTGGTTTTTGTTGTTGTTGTTTAGTCGTTTAGTCGTGTCCGACTCTTCATCACCCCATGGACCAGAGCACTCCAGGCTCTCCTGTCTTCCACTGCCTCCCGCAGTTTGGTCAAACTCATGCTGGTAGCTTCAAGAACACTGTCCAACCATCTTTTCCTCTGTCGTCCCCTTCTCCTTGTGCCCTCAATCTTTCCCAACATCAGGGTCTTTTCCAGGGAGTCTTCTCTTCTCATGAGGTGGCCAAAGTATTGGAGCCTCAGCTTCACGATATGTCCTTCCAGTGAGCTAAAGTGGTACCTCAGGTTAAGAACAGTTTCAGGTTAAGAACGCACCTCCAGAACGAATTAATTTCTTAACCCGAGGTACCACTGTATATATTTCCTTAAGTCCTCCCACTGGACTGCTGTTGCTTGAGAGCTTAACATTTTGACCCTAAATATTAGCGATGGAGAAGAAATTTATTTGGTCTGCATTTATGAAGTGAATCAACCTAACTTGCCGCTCCCAGATTGATATGGGGATTGGAATGCAGCTATTAATCAGATACAGGTCTCTAAATGTTATGGTGTTGTTCCAAAGCAAATAAATGTGTATAACATACATTGGGTTTTCAGGGGGGGGGGCTGCATAAAATGCATAATTTAAGAAAAATGCAAAGTGTACAATAAAAAATACACATTTTAGTGGAAGAATGTGTGGAAAAATTGTGTACAAAAGATGTATAAAAATGCAAAAAACAAAACAGGATGGAAAAAAATCTAAGACAAATACATTTGAAACTGGCAGGGAAGGGGAAAGGGCTGATCCTTCCATGCCTACTATATATTTGAAATGACATGTGTATAAGATAGTATGAGATGATGTTTTAAGGCATTGTCACAGTCGTTAATACATCCCTCATCCTATCAGCTCATATTTTCTAAGATAGCAAGTCTTAGCATGTAGCTGTATTCCGTTTCTATTTTCCAACATCAAGATAAACATTGTAACTCAATGCACACAATATTTAGCAACCAACAACTCCAAAGTATCACATAATAAGTCAAAGATAAATATTTGCAACATGCTCATTGAAAACAATGGAGAGTAGAATTCAATATAAATTGTTCTGTAATTTACTTCTTTATAGATATTGGTTTACAAAATTAAATTAAAGCATCCTTGATTACTGTAGCGCTTAGTGTCTCAGAAGAGGTGATCTTATTTCAATAAACTATGGAAGCCAACATTAATGTAATTGGAATACTGCAACCATCCTTTCCAGGCTTGTTTAAATGTAGTTATTTTACTCATTAACGTAACGTGATAAACCTTTTAAATTCACTCTTCTTTCTAAGGCTTCTCCTTTTTATTCAAATAGTTCTAGCCACAATAAACAAATTGTCATCTGTCTAAGGTTTCAATCCTAAGGTAGGGCAGACAAAATGAAATAAAGGCACAAGCCTTCATTTTCTTCCAAGTCTTTCCCACTCAATGGGAACAATGGGAAATAAATGTTCTGGTTCTCCTCTAGAACATCCCTGAAATATCTCAGTATGCCCCCTTTAAGCCTTGCCAATATGGGTTGAGCCAAGGCATCATATGCTTCTGTGGTAGCAGGGATGGAACAGCCAACATCACATTTCCCTTTTGGACCTTCATCTCTAATGTTTGAGGTAAAGGTAAAGGGACCCCTGACTATTAGGTCCAGTCACAGATGACTCTGGGGTTGCGGCGCTCATCTCGCTTTACTGGCTGAGGGAACCAGCATACAGCTTCCGGGTCATGTGGCCAGCATGACTAAGCTGCTTCTGGCGAACCAGAACAGCACACGGAAACGCCAGAGCAGTACCTATTTATCTACTTGCACTTTGACATGTTGGCTTTTTGCAGTATGGTAGCGCTGCAGAGAGCTTGCTGGGGAGACCATGCATTAAAAAGGGACTCAAAAATAACTTAAACAAGGTTTTAATAAGAAAAACAAAAACTCCTTTTACACTAAATACATTAACAAACAAACATGACCCAACCACCAACCCATCCCCCAGGGTAATGGGAGAGCTAGGTGCTGCTCCTTATATACTACACCCAATTACCAACACAGCTTAATCAATACAACTCAGCAGCACCTGCTATGTTTCACAGCTGTAAAGCTGGGTCTCGTTATTTTGCTCTGGCCCTTTCTCTGGCCCCTTAAAGACATACACATCGGGTGGAACAGTGATGAACCTTACATTTAAAGAAACCATTCAACATTTCCCTGCGGTTCATCATTGTGGAACAAAAACATAAAGCATACTTTGTACATGTTTTTCATGTATACCTTTTGGAAGTGCTTTAGTAAAAATGTCTGCAATTTGATTGTCACCTGGAACATATTTAAATACAACCATTTCATCAGCAATTAGTTTCTTTACAAACTGTAAACGTAATCTTAAGACTTTAGTGCGCTGCGTATTGGTTTCTGAACATAGGATAGCGAGTCCACTCTGGGAATCAAGGTAAACTTTTACTGGTAGTGTTACTTGCATCTGTAGGTCTGCGAATACTTGCAGATACCATTCCACATCACGAGTGGCCTGAACACATGCACATAATTCACTCTCTGTTGTGGAGAGACAAATAATGGTTTGTGTCTGGGACTTCCATTCAAATGGACAACCATTATAACAAAACACCATACCAGACACACCCTGCAATTATTTAGTTCCACTGCATGAGATGCATCACAGAAAATTTCAAAACCTTTGTCAATACATGTTGTAAACTGCAACCTATAATGTTTGGTATGTTTAAGGTACATTACCACTCTCTTAAGAGCAGAGAAACATTGTGTAGTGGGCTTTTCCACAAATTTTGCCAGAAAGTGAAAGGCATAAGTTATATCTGGTCTTGAGATTCTTTGAATGAAATTTAGCTTGCCTATAGCAGAACGATACAAAGTTTTGTTAGGAAATGGCTTATCTTCACCTGTAAAAGTGAAACCACACACCATGGGCGTTTCCTTCCCATTTGCATTTTCTAAACATAGCATTTCAACAAGATCGTCAATTTTTGCAGTTTGATGAACCAGAAAAGATCCATTTTTGCCTTTCTCAATTTGCATGGATAAGTAATTTTTAGCTATGCCTAATTCCACCACATCAAATTTCTTCTGTAACTGTGTTACTACCTGTTCATATTCCTGTTTAGTTTTTGTAGAAATTAACACGTCATCTACATAGACACATATTTTTGCTACAGAGTTTGCCCTTTCCTTTATAAACACACAATTGTCTGCCTTTCCCTGTGAAAACCAATATCCAGCAATTCTTTTGCTAAAGTTTGATGCCAATTCCTTCCACTTTGGTGCAGACCATAAAGGGATTTATTTAATTTGCATACCAAACCTTCAGCGGCGTCTATGCCTTCAGGGACACGCATAAAAATTTGTTCTTTTAAATCTGCAAACAAATATGCAGTTTTTATATCTAGGTGATAAACAGAATGTCCACGTTGTGATGCATCTTTTAACAAAAGCTTAACTGTTTCATATTTTACACTTGGTGAATAACACAAATCATAATCTTCGCCTGGAATTTGTTGAAAACCCCTAGCAACTAATCTTGCCTTGTACCTTACAACTTCATTTTTGTCATTCATTTTAACTCTATAAACCCATTTTGAATCAATAAGTCTCATATCTGGGGTTTGTGGTACAAGAGACCAAGTGTTATGCTCTTTTAAAGAAGCTATTTCAGAGTTCATAGCTTTATACCAATTTACAGCTTGGTGCTTAGGTAAATTCTGAACATCATTGTAGCTTTTGGCTCAAAAACTGCCTTATTGGCATACACAGTATTAAAATGTTCATCTGCAAAACGTTGTGGCTTCTGTCTCTTTCTATCTGAACGTCTCAGTCCGGAAGGAGAGTCAGACTCCTCAGACTTAATGGGACTATGTAAACTACTAGTTTCAGGTTGTTAATCATCATTGTCAGACTGAAGAGATGCCTGTTGGCTAAGCTCACGGTCAGAAAACTCAAGAGAATCTAACCAACCCTCGCGGGCCTGTGACTTTAAATCATCAAAGAAATTATCAGATTCAACAGGCTTTTTGTCTTCTTCCATTAATTCAGAAGCACCATTTCCTGCTGCTGCTGCTGCTTCTTCTACCTCTTCTTCCTCAGTATTATCTATACCATTACTATCTTGGAAAACAGCAACACCATTCCAATTTACAGTTTGTATCATGCTTCTGGTAATATGAAATTTGCCAGTTGCTGGTATGTAAATTCTGTACGCCCCTGCTGGTAGCCCATTAATTTTCCCTGGACACTACGTTCACCCAATTTCTGCTTAGCGGGATAATGCATTATTACATCTGAACCCCAAATGCGTAGGTATTTCAGATTAGGCGTTTTTAAACAGCTTCTCATAGGGGTGACATCTAAACCAGAATGATAACTGCGATTTCTAACATAACAAAAGGCATTGAGCGCTTCAGCCCAAAAGTCTTTGGGCAGATTAGCATCATGCAGATAAGTTTTAACCCCTGCCTGCAGGTCACGCTGCACAACTTCAACAAGCCCATTTTGCCAGGGACTTCGGGGCAAGATAACTCATGAGTAGTCCCCTGCGCTTCCAGGAATTTCTCAAAATCCTCAGAAACAAATTCCCGCCCCTGTCAGAAAAAAGGTTCTTAATAGGTTTGTTTAATTGTGTTTTTACCCAGTTGCAAAAACTTTGTACTTCTCAAATGCTTGGGACTTCTCAGCTATTGCATAAGTCCAACAATATCTACTATACTGGTCTATCAGGGTAAGCCAGTACTTAGAACCTCCTAAGGATGGTGGGAGTGGCCCAACTAAATCACAATGTACACACTCAAATGGCTCAGTTACTTTCCTATCTGAGCACCTACCCTTGCGTGCAACCTTAATCTTATTCTTGCAACAGGATAGACATTGCATAAAGAATTTACATGGTTTTAAGTTGAGGCCATTAACAATATTCTTGGTCTTAATTACATCAGCAAAATTCAGATGTCCCAGAATTCTGTGCGCCTCATGGACACACCCAGAATGTGGCCTTACATTCCTCAACCCCTGGCTTGACTGTGCTGCTCTGCAATTTATAGGCGATTGGGAGTAGGTGCGAAAATACAGTCTATATAAACCATCAGATTCCCGGGCATACAATAGACGTTTGTTCCCCTCGAAAACTCACACATTGACTTTAAGAAACGCACAGTTATGCCTTGACGAGCAAAACACCTTACTGACAATAAATTGTCCACTGATGGGCAGTAAATGCAGTTCGCTATAGTAATGTTTAAAGAGTCAAGTTTAACAGTACCCCTGCCAAGCGACTGCAAGACTTGGGAATTGGCTAAATGTACAATACCAATTTCCTCTTCAAAAGAAATAAACAAGCTTCGATCGTTGCAAACGTGCTGAGATGCTCCTGAGTCCACAATAAAAGAATTCCACTTGGCACCTTTAATTCTTTTACAATCTCTTGTGCTAGCGTGAAAAGCTCGCGGCTCGTTTCTGTCTTTACGGTACGATGCCGGCTGCTGAGCTGACGACCGTGACTGACGAACAGAAACAGACTTGGGAGTACTTTGCTTTCTTTTGGATCTGCAGTCCTTTGCAAAATGTCCTTGCTTATTGCAGAACCAACAACGCTTTGCAGCTTTAAATGCAGTTGTATCACCACAAGTTTGCATATGGCGTTCCTCATTCTTTCTGGAAATAGGAGTGCTTATGGCACAAGCCCCCTTCTGTCCAACTCGCCCATTAATCTTGCCGTTACCCCTTCCACAGTTAATTGTGCTGGTGGAACGGCAGATATCTGGCTAGCTATACCATCAAAGTCCTCATTAAGGGAACAAAGGATGATGAAAACATACTGAATATCAGGTATCTCCATGTCCCTTCGAATTAATTCGCCGCGTATTGCCTCCAGACGTCTCAAGTGTGCTGCCAAATCACCACCAGGCTGCAACCTGTCTGGTACAACTGCTTGAAAACGTCAATGCAGACGCTGACTCTTTTCTAACATGCACTGCTGCAAGACTGTCCCACATTTCTTTGGCAGTTTTCTTATTTCTTATATAGACTACTTGCTGGTCGCTGACTGCCAAATTAATTATCGCCCTGGCTTTCGATCTCCTTTCGACCAAGCATTAGTCACAGGGTCAGGAGGGTCATCAGTTACATAGGTCCATACTTCTCTAGAGGTCAAAAGCGCCTCCACCCGAAAAGACCATAAACTATAGTTCTCATCTGTCAGCTGTGGGAAGACCAGAGCCTTCTCAGCTTCAGGAACCCGGTCAACCATTCTGGAACTCTTCCAGACCCACAGAACTACGCTAACAGGAGAAGGAGTTTTCAAACCTTTCTCAGAGTCCAAAAATATGCAGTCATCCACTCAGCAGCTGGGCCCATAACCAAAGATGTTGGCTTTTGCAGTATGGTAGCGCTGCAGAGAGCTTGCTGGGGAGACCATGCATTAAAAAGGGACTCAAAAATAACTTAAACAAGGTTTTAATAAGAAAAACAAAACTCCTTTTACACTAAATACATTAACAAACAAACATGACCCAACCACCAACCCAACCCCAAGTGTAATGGGAGAGCTAGGTGCTGCTCCTTATATACTACACCCAATTACCAACACAGCTTAATCAATACAACTCAGCAGCACCTGCTGTGTTTCACAGCTGTAAAGCTGGGTCTCGTTATTTTGCTCTGGCCCTTTCTCTGGCCCCTTAAAGACATACACATCGGGTGGAACAGTGATGAACCTTTACATTTAAAGAAACCATTCAACATGACATGCTAGTTTGGCAGGAGCTGGGACCAAGCAATGGGAGCTCATCCCGTCGCAGGGATTCGAACCGCCGACCTTCTGATCGGCAAGCCCTAGGCTCTGTGGTTTAGACCACAGCGCCATCCGTGTCCCAATGTTTGAGAGGGAGATAATAATGATAATGATAATGATAATGATAATAATTTATTTATACCCCGCCCATCTGGCTGGGCTTCCCCAGCCACTCTGGGTGCCTTCCAACCAAATATTAAAATACAGTAATACATCAAACATCTAATGAAATCTAATATATGGCCCCTAGGACATACTCCCAGGGGCCATATGATTTCAACCCAGGTTTCCATAGTCCCCCCCCCCTTGTGATCTTTTACATTACATAACAGTCAAGGCAGTATGAAAACTACTCCTAACATCACATTACCATTTAACCATCTGCTTTCCCCCAATTTCATAATCACTTTATGCCTTTTTAAATCTCTATATGCATGAAATCTGCATCAATTTCCAGTACATGGCATGTCTAACAGATTCCTATTAGGTTTGAATCAGAATTTTGATATTGAAATGGATTTTTGAAAAAAAAATCACCAATGAAGATGTCAGGCAAATCTGACGAAAACAAGAGTGGAAATTTCTGATGTTCACTTATTCATCCCATGTCCAGAACATAACTCAACACTGCAAATTCTGGGTTGGATACTGCTGCAGATTGGAAACAGTGCTTCATGTGACAAATATAGGACAAAAGAGAAAGAGATGTCTTCTTACATCATGCACAACACCCTCCAACATGTCCCAGAGGAAAACTGAGACATTCATCTTTCAGGGCCCCACGTGAATCACAAAGCCCCAAAACATGGATTTTCATGCCTGCAATCTTGTGAGAGAGCATGGCACCCCAAAACAGGATGTCCAAATTAAATCAGGATAGCTGAGGGGTACATGCACATGCAGACAAATGTGTATATATGCATCAAAATAACACATGTCTAAATAACAATTAGGCAGCAACCCAGCGCCTAAATAAAAATAGCATACTCATCGGTCACTACAAAATATAATGGATTAGCAAATATGAGGAATGTTTGTAAACAGGTATGAGGACTATTCACATGGAGAATCACTTGAACCAACATCGTATTTGATTGGTTATACACAGAGAGGAAGACAGAGAGTGATGGATGGATGTGTAGGAATTATTGCTGTCAAATAAGAAGAAGGATGGTAAGGATCTGGCAGGCCATGTGGGAGGTCTAGCTGCAAGGAAGAAAATTCAAGGTAGAATTGATATAGAGCTTGGGGAATGTGGAAGCCAGAACAGAAAATAAGAAGAAGCCTGGGCAAATCAAGAGAGAGAAAGGCTGAAATACGATGTCTTTTTCAGAGAGTATGGAAAAGGAGCATAGCAAGCTTCTTTATATTGAGTCAGATCATTAATTACCCAAAATTAAATTCATTCATTTACCAATTCTGCTAACTAGCCTTAATCAGAGTTTACAATCAGCTCAGTTTGTCTATAAAGTCATTTCAGTAAAGATCAATCATAACATTAATTCAAGATGTGAAGTTTCCTGTAAACCGCTAATTAAAAGCAACACTGGGAAGGAATGGATGTAGTGTGTTGCCCAAATTAACTGACCACCAGAATAGCTTGCATAAGGATAAAGCTTTTGAAAACATAAATCAGTTTATTAATATCCCCATAAAGATGATTTAGTACCTAAAAAGGTGTCAAGTATTTCCCTCCAGGGTAACCAACATTGCTGTTGGACTACAACTCCCAGAAGTTCCAGCCAGCATGCCCAGTGGTCACAAATTGTGAGAGTTATAACTTTACAACCTCTGGAAGGTACCACATTGGCCAACTCTGATTTATCTAAAGAAGCCTTATTTGACTCCCCGGCACATGTACTTACTTATTCAGCAATCCACACTTTGCAGAGTCAATTCTCTCAATGCACAGCTTCTCAAGAGATGATTGGAGACTTAGCCCATAATCTGGCCACCCAAAAGCAATAGCACCCTTAAACCTTGTGTTTGTGTGTCGCTAGTGGTTGGTTTATATGGATTAGCTTCCACCAATAGTAGCCTGGTTGGAAACCAAAAGGAATTGGAGTTGACTGAGCCTCCTCCCTTCTCATCTTAGAGGAATGGTGGAGTTGCTGTGATTGTTCTTGGTGGTGGGTTGAAGTGGCAAGGCAGGACTTCCGGGGTGGCGCCTCCGGAAAATGGCGGAATTCCCTTCAAGTTGAAGGGAACCCGCTGCACGGAAGCTTGGGTCCTACCGCTACGGCGCAGCGGGGACCCTTAAAACCCACAGGCGGATGAAGCCTGTGGACGTGGGACTCAGCGGGCACCGTGAGCGCCTCTCCCTTGTACAGGAGCCCGGTAACGGGCTCCGGAGTGGGAGGTGCATGGTGCTGTGAGTCGACTGCTTCTTTCGTGCAGCAAAGCCGCACTGCCGTTTCCGGAGAGCGCTGCCTTTCCTGGGACAATTTGGCATCTAAAACATCTATCCGTGAGTACCTGATCTTGGAAGAGCTGAATTACTTTTAAGACTGGTGAATAAATAAATAAATTGGACTTGAAATTGAATTTAATTGGGACTTGGAATGAGAAGGTCTAAGCAGGAAGTCAACCTTCCGTTCTTTTGTTACGTGAAGAAAGCAAAGACAAAATATACTAAAGCTTGAAAATTAAATTCTGAGAGAACTAGAATTCAACACCTAAGATTTCTGAACCCCCCTTTGACTGCAGGAGAAGAAGGAGGTTGTTTTGGACTTTATAACCCTGCGGAAGTGAGTTTAAAACAAAGTAATTTTCCACCGCCCTGAACCAGGAGCGGGCTGTCAGAACTGACGTCTTGAAGCTTGTCCAGCTCGACAGATAGTTAAAAGAAAGGTAACATTGTGACTCTACTGTTGCCTCTTGAATTTTGAAGGGGGAACTTTGGATAAAGTGTATCTGGAAAAGAAAGACTGTTGCTGATGATTTTCTCCGTTATAAAAAAAAAGGAAAAAAAAAGGTTTTCCCTCTAGTGGGATTTAGTGAAACTGCAACGCAGAGAGCTTAAAAGTGAAGGACTATAATCGTGGGAAAGAATTTTCTTTGACCCTGAAGGACAATGCTTGTACAAAGGCTTGAACAAATGTTCCTGGAAGGTTTTTCAAAACTAAGTGCCCAGCTGGACCAGATGCGTCAGGAGACGACCTTGATGACGGAAGTTACCAGAGCACAGCAGCAAGTAAATGGAACTCAGTTAAAATATCTACAAGTATATGAACCTGCTGTAGTGATGGAGGCTTCAGAGATGGAGGGACCTTTGGACCGGCAGGATCAGCCTTTGAACTTGATAAATGAACTTGGGATAAATCAGATCTGGAAAGATGAAATGTGGTTAGATTTGGAAATGGGGGATGGATTGACCCCTTTATATGGTTATCTGGACTTTCCGAGTCTGGTGATGGGCCATCAGAGGATTGGAGTAGTCGGAGCCTCCAAGTTTCAAGGAAACTTGAAGTGGTATTATCTGCTGTCTGGCTTGGACAATGGGCATGGGATGGACTTGTTGCAAAGGGTCAAAAGTATCTTTCTGCTGGAGTACCCACGACTGAAAGGGAAACATCAAGAAGAGCTGCGAAAGGGGCAAGAAAGAGATTTGAGGGCCTCGGACACGAGACAACCAGGTTAAGGAGCCGGACTATTGAGGTTAAAAGGACTGACAATCCCGGGTCCAGGGGAGGGGGGCGCTGGAAGTTGACTGGATTGTGTCTGACTTATTATCTTATTTTATTTTTCTATTTTTCAATATTGGGAACGTTCATAAATGTTTGAAAGATGTTGAATGAAACTATATGGCTTAAGTAAGGATTGGTAAATGATTTGCAAAAAGGTAATGATGTAAGAATTTGGTAAATACTGAATATAAGCTTTGAGTTTTAAAGTTTTTATATGACAAGAGGGAAAATAGAATAAGGAAATGTAATGATAGACTGTTATGAAAAACAGAAAGGATTTGCTGTAAAAATTAAAAATTATGTAACAAGGGAGGGGAGGAGGAGGAAGTCTAGAAAGGACGTTAATAGAGATCGTAAATGATTTTATACTTTTGTTTTTCTCTTTATGGTTGGTTTTTTTCTTTTTTATTTCTTTATCGTTTTTGCTTTTTGTATTTTCAATTTTTTTGGAAATTTTTGTTGTTATTCTTTGAAAACTTAATAAATATTAATTAAAAAAAAAATGAAGTGGCAAGGCAGGTGAGTGGGGAAAATACAGCACCCCCAATTTATTAATTAAAAAAATGTTTGTTGTGAGTGCACTCCAAAGGGCAAGCGATAGCACCCAAAGTCTCAGGGGAAGTAAGATGAATTGTTTTCCACACAGTTCCTCAGTGGCTCCAGTTACCTTATGCCAGCCAATACTAAATTGATTTGCATCCAAGGGTAACCTGGACTGTTGTTGTTTAGTCATTTAGTCGTGTCCGACTCTTCGTGACCCCATGGACCAGAGCACACCAGGCACTCCTGTCTTCCACTGCCTCCCGCAGTTTGGTCAAACCCATGTTTGCAGCTTCGAGAACACTGTCCAACCATCTCGTCCTCTGTCGTCCCCTTCTCCTTGTGTCCTCCATTTTTCCCAGCATCAGGGTCTTTTCCAGGGAGTCTTCTCTTTTCATGAGGTGGCCAAAGTATTGGAGCCTCAGCTTCACGATCTGTCCTTCCACTGAGCACTCAGGGCTGATTTCCTTAAGAATGGATACATTTGATCTTCTTGCAGTCCATGGGACGCTCAAGAGTCTCCTCCAGTACCATAATTCAAAATGTCTTTGTCCATGGAGTTTTCTTGGCAGGGATACTGGAGTGGCTTGCCGGTTCCTGCTCCAGGTGGATCACGTTTGGTCAAAACTCTCCACTATGACCTGTCCATCTTGGGTGGCCCTGCATGGCATAGCTCATAGCTTCTCCGAGTTGTTCAAGCCCCTTCACCACGGCAAGGCAGTGATCCATGAAGGGGTAGTGATCCATGAAGGGGCAGTGATCCATGAAGGGGTAATCATTGGTAATCCAGATGCAAATCCAGTAGTGATTGTGGGCTTCTCATGTCTTTTCCTCCAGTGAAGGAAATGGTGTGGTTTTTGCAGTAGCTGCACTTAATAAGTGGATGTGATAACATTGGCCTGTCAAGTGGGGACACAGCAATGCACAATTTTCTTCCCCTGGACAGTCCATTGGCAGCTACAATGTGACTTTTGTCTCCAAAAGGATCTTGCATAATGTGACATTTGGAGTTTACAAACCAAACTGCGCATCCTGTCCTAGCCACTACATCACCTTTATGATCGGCTGGGGAGTAGAGGTTTATTAACACGAGCCAGTGCAGTCATAGAAAATCATTGTACTGCGATAGAAGAGATAGAATAAATAAAGTGGTTTATCACTAAACCGTATAATCATTCAGTCGACCTCCATTAGAAAGTCATTTTACAAGGTTTTAAGCCCAAGTTAGAATAATAATAAGTAACTAGCGAGCAGTTGTCTTTTTCAGCAATTTGGAATGGCGTAGCAAGTGCAGACCAGCTGGGGTGTTTTTCACAGTTTTGTTGCCCTGCCTTTGCATTTTCATTGAGATAGATCACCAAACTACTGTGTGTTTGTGTGTATATATCTATCATCTATCTATCATCTATCTATATCACTCTATCTATCTATATCATCTATCATCTATCTATCATCTATCTATCATCATCTATCTATCTATCATCTATCTGACATCTATCTATCTATCTATATCATCTATCTATCATCTATCTATCTACAGTGGACGCTCGGGTTGCGAACGTGATCTGTGTGGAAGGCACATTCGCAACCCGCAGCGCCATGTCTGCGCACGCACGGGTTGCGATTCGGCTCTTCTGCACATGCGCAAAGCACGATTTACCGCTTCTGCGCATGTGCGACCGCCAAAACCCAGAAGTAACCTGTTCCTGTACTTCTGGGTTTCGGCGTGTCCATAACCCGAAAAAATGCAACCTGAAGCATCTGTAACCCAAGGTATGACTCTATCTATCTATCTATCTATCTATCTTCTATCATCTATGAAATCCAAAGACTATTTTAACACAGATGTTTTATCACTTGATCCTGGATAAATCCATACCAATGGGAGGAAAGTGGACTTGCCTTTATATGAAGTTTAAGGAAGAAGCTGCAGCTTCCTGGGGAACCATATACTTTCCATGTGAAGGATTCAAGGTCAATCATTGGTGGCACCAGAGGGGACAGGGAGCAAGTGCCCTAACAAGCAGCTCCCCCCACCCCATGCTGGATGCCGGCCATATAGTGTTGTTGTTTTTCAAAAAGCATGAGATCTTAAAATGTGGGACTTTGCCCCTTATGTGGCACCCCATAATAACATTTTGGTGTCACACTGGTATTAGAGTCACTGTCAGTTCAGATAGGCTACACTGCGCTCAGTGATTCAATGGTCTATCTCAGCATAGAGCTGCTTCTTATATTCATATGGCGGCATCGTGAATTCATGACTTGCATGTGTGAGGCAGCCCCTGCAGATCAAATGAGTGTAGAGTTGATCTCCAGCAAAAGGAATCCCAAGGTTAAGAAGTAGTCACAGTAGCACCTGAAATAATGATATGATGCACAGATGGAATTTTAAGGATGATGTTTCAACATCCGAATGGGAGCTAAAGAAGGAGAGTTCCTTAGACATGCCAGACCCCAGTCATAAAGATTTTATAGGTTCAGGCAAGCAAGCAAAACAGAACACACCTTGTTTTTGAAAGACAATAGGAAGTCAGTGTGAGATGCCTACGGCATACAGACAGGCATTTATTATAAGGTGAAGCGTCAAAAGATGACTAAGAATCTACATCTTTCAAAAATGTTCTATGTGAACACGAAGGAGCCTTTGTCGACAATTCACAGTTAATGGAGACAACCACCAACATTGAATATGTGGATGTGAATTCAAAGTCTGAACTGTCCTGTCTCAAAATGGCACTCAGTCTGTCAGATGTGAATGGCTAGCATTGACTCATGGGCCGATTACTTCTGCTTTATCATTTGGGGAGATCCTCACATTAGCCTACAAGGCTAATCGTATGGAAACCGAGGAGTGGAAAAGGCATTTGGCACAATGTAGGCAGAACCTGATCCAGGGTAGCAAATTTGAAAAACGTAAGGAGTCTCTGCTAGATGGCCCATCTAGTCCAACATCCTGTTTTCACAGTAGCCGATCAGATTCACCTGGTCACCTAATTGCAAAGAGAACAATCCTCCAGCACTGGAAATCTCACAGTACACTGGACATTCTGGGAGGGATACAAGGCCTTCTACAGCAAGCGGCTCGTGTACAGATCCTGTTCAGTAAAAGCAAAATGAAGAAGAAAAAGAAGAGTTTGGATTTGACATCCCGCTTTATCACTACGAAGGAGTCTCAAAGCGGCTAACATTCTCCTTTCCCTTCCTCCCCCACAACAAACACTCTGTGAGGTGAGTGGGGCTGAGAGACTTCAGAGAAGTGTGACTAGCCCAAGGTCACCCAGCAGCTGCATGTGGAGAAGCAGGGAATTGAACCCAGTTCAACAGATTACGAGTCCACCGCTCTTAACCGCTATGCCACACTGTCATAACATTTGAAATGGGTTTTTAGAGCTTTTTACAGAATATTATTTTTTTTTTGTGGGGAGCAACGGAATGAGAGATGCATCATGCAGAAGTGGACCCTGACATTTCCTTGTTCTCCCACTGCTTTCTTTATCTTAATCTATTTATTTTATCTCCTTTTTCAATGTAGATCAGGGTTGGGGAAACTTTCCTCCTCCAGATGTGGCCAATTTTTTGGCCAAGCAAGCATGATGGGAGTTGCAGTTCAGTAACACCTGGAAGGACAAATATTTCCCACACCTGGTGTAGATTATTTTATCTTGATTTAGTCTTATCTTAGTAGACGTTGCCTTCAAACACAGGGAGGTGTGGGAAGGAAGGAAGGACAAGGAAGAGGGCAAACGTATGCTGTTGTATGCATTTGTGTTTTTGAAATTTCGAATGGACAATTGATTTAAAAGTGCTGTAGCTTATGCATTCCTTCTGTACTGATAAGTGTGTGATTACTAATAGGGTTTGACATAGAGAATGATTCAAGCAGAAATGAACTTAGCCTTTTAAATATCTGATTGAGAAGAATACTTTATCTCTAAGTACAGTGTGCAAAAGAATCTGGAGTGTAGGAGACGTGCAAACTTATGTGTGCACAGCTGAATGCATGTCCATGAATGTAAACCCATCCACTCTGATAATTAAACTTTCCAGAACAGTTTCAGAATGCAGTAAAAGTTAAACAATACAGCCATGAGTTTGAGAGCTCCCGTGGCACCTCAGCTAATAGTGTAGGTTGCACAGAGAATTGGAAGTGTATGTAGCGAGAGTCAGAAATTTCAGAGGCATTTTTGTAAGTCTTCATTCCAAGCAGTTCATCCTTTCATTCTTTCAAGTTAAGATCATCAGGATTTACCCTGACTTTTAATGCTTGACTCGAGAGTTGGAAAGCAGAAAGCATTTGTAGTTGCTAGTGTGCTCTTTTCAGTGCAAGGAATATCGGTAGTGCAGTTGAGGATCCTGTTCAGGAGAAATTATCCATTCCAATGTGGCATGGGAGGCGTTGAAGGTCAAACTTATAACATTTGCTTTTTCCTGATCTATAGCATTTATCAGAGATCAGGATTTTTTTTGTTTCATTTAAAAGGAAGACTACTCCACTTTCCACGAGCACTAAGTTACACTCTATTTAGTTCTTTCTCAGTTTGGTTTAAGGCAACTTCATTATCTGAGAATATGCACTACATTAGTCTATTGTAGCAAAATCAGTGTGGCATTTTAACAACCATGGTTAAGTGGGGTTTTTTTGCGGAATTAGCTTTGTAGGAAAGAGCCTACTTCAACAAGTAATTCTAATAGATCAGACTCATGCTTACAAGGGTTCATGCTGCAATTTTTTAAATATTCCCTTGTTTATTGCCAGAAACAAGGAAGGTTACACAGTCCTCCTCCTTTTCCATCATTATTATCATCACCATTTAATTAACTGAAGCTTTGCCACCCACCCACATTTTGCTTTTTCATGGGGTTTGGGTAAAATTCAGAGCCAACAGAATTAAAATGGATCCTCTGAATCAACATTATTTTGCTAGCTCCTCCCAGCACCAAAAAGCACCATCAAGTTAAAGCTTGCATTTGCTAGATTGCATAGTAAAAGTCACAGATCAAGAACTTGTTGGGACCACTGAAGCACTGCTCCAATACACAGATCCTCATGAATCTTCCTGATTTTTGAATAGGATGGTAACAAAACCAGCAGCAAGTTGCAAAACTTATCTACGGACAAAGAGGGGGTCTTTGATTTGCTGGTGTTTTGGATGCATCTCTTTATAAGCCTCATGCCATGCTCAATAACTGCAGGATGCCTTTGCCCGGTGGCACTGGGGCCCATAATTTGCAGAAAAATACTGGGCAAGCTTTTGCCTGGTATCTTGTCCATGCTGTGGGTTCATGGGGAAAAGCTGTCCTATGAGTCTTTTCAAAGGGGAGGGGAAGGCCTCTATAAGGCTGCTTCCCCAGGGCCATTTTGCATTGAGAGCTTCCCGCCCATCCACCCTCAGATTAGAGCCTTCGCTGAGCAATTTTGGATCACTGGCTGGAATTTTTGCTCTTAACTTGGTTGGGATTTTTTCACCTTTTACTCATTGCAGTTATGGGATTCCTTTGTTGGGCAGAAGAATGTTTGTTGTGGGTGAAAATGGAATTGGGCAGGATCAACATAGTACAGCGGTGCCCCGCAAGACGAATGCCTCACAAGACGAAAAGCTCTCTAGACGAAAGGGTTTTTCGTTTTTTGAGGTGCTTCGCAAGACGAATTTCCCTGTGGGCTTGCTTCGCAAGTCGGAAACGTCTTGCAAGTTTGTTTCCTTTTTCGTAAAACCGTTAATACCCAGGATGCATTGCTTGAAGAGGTGCAGTTGCGACTTGACTTTGAGGAGCAACTCATAGCATGCAGTGTGGTAGCCTTTTTTGAGGTTTTTGAAGACTTTGGTGATTTTTGAAGCTTTTCCAAAACTTCTTTTGCAGCCATTTGGTAAGTTAAACTTTTAAAACTTTTTTGGGGTTTTTGGATTTTGGGTTGGGGTGTTTGGAATTCAAGGACTTGGTGTTGGGGAGGGGTTTGCAAGAATCTGGAAGCTTGTGTGGTTTTTTTCTGCATTTTTATGATTTTCTTTGACCATTGGGCCACTCTGCTGGTTTTTTTTTTAAAAAATCTGGATTTGAATTTCTGTGTGGTGGGTGGCTGGGGAAACAGTTGGGGAGGGGTTTGCAAGAATCTGGAAGCTTGTGTGGTTTTTTCCTGCATTTTTATGATTTTCTGTGACCATTGGGCCACTCTGCTGTTTTTTTTAAAAAAAAATCTGGGTTTGAATTTCTGTGTACTGTACACTTTGTTGATTTTTAAATGTTTTTCTGTCATGTTTAGAAACTTAATTTATTGTTCCTTCAATTTTTGAAATGCTCTTTACAGTATGTGTGACTTTAAAGAGCACTTAATAAACTCTTGTTGTACCAAATTTGGCTTTGTTTGGACTTTTTTTAACCATAGGAACGCATTAATTGAATTTCAATGCATTCCTATGGGATTTCGTGCTTCACAAGACGAAAAATTCGCTAGACGAAAAAACTCGCGGAACGAATTAATTTCGTCTTGCGAGGCACCACTGTATGGGGGTGCCTCTATGGCACCCTGTTAGGCTGAATTGCATTCAAAATGTGTTTATTATGAGAAATTCACACAGAAGTGCTGATGACTTTTCATGAGGACTTTTAAAATAATAACAATTGCACACTGATGTGGAAATGTGAAGAACTGAATTTGAGATGTGGAAGAATAAGTTGACAGATTCACCCATTTATATCTCATGTACACTAATGCAGATTATTTTACAGTCTGAATAGTTTGACAAGTCAGATGAACAATTTGGAATGTTCACCGTGGAGCAGATATTCACCCGGAGAAGACAACAACCAAGAAAATGTGATGAAATTTCTGGAACTGATCTTTTTGAAAGCTCAGTTTGAACTTTTAAAGTTCTATCTAGTCAAATTACATTGCTAATTCATCCTTTTCCTGCCTTCATAATGATGATTTTTTCCCCTCAAATAAAGACAAAAGGCTGCAATGCAGCACAATCAGACACATCAGTTATGTTACATCACAAGTCTTCTTTGCTTTAACCTGCTTCTCGTTGTGCCATTCTTCTTCCTCACATATAATAGCTATGTACATAAGTTTGAAACGAACCATCAAGGCTGAAAATGGTTGCCTTTGGGTTCAAGTGCTATTTTGGCAAGCACTGTTATCTGCACAACTGCAGGGTATTTTAGCTATGGGGAAGAAGTCATCTTTCCAGTGTGATTGATGTGTAGTTCATTAAGGCAGAGAGAGAGAGAGAGTTATTTGTGCAGCCCTGTCATTAACTCCTACTAGCCGTATTTCTACATTGTCAAATACTCTCCAACCACGTGTACAGTGAGAGCTGCTCACGTTTTAAATACATGATTGATGCTTCATGAACATGTTTGCATGGGTGAATCAACAGCTGTTAGGCAACAAAACGAGGCAACCATTTATTGTATACACCAAGCAGTTGTCAAGCAATATTAATATCCCTTAGTCAATAAAAGAGAGCAAAACAACTTTAACACAGTCCGTGATAAACAGATGGTAAGAGTAATGGAGTCAATCTTGTATTGACTTAACCACTTTCATCCTATTCCTCATGTTCTGCCCCTTGGGATGGACTTTTATTGGAAAGCATGTTGAAAACTGAGCCGCCTCCTTAATAGCTACAGCAGTCTAACTGCTGACACTATAAATGCCCGTGTGGTTTTCATCTGGCTTGCCCTGTGTGAAAATGTCTGAATACGATGAGAGCAGAATATTACAAGAAATTGAGACATTTCCAGTAATTGTTATGGTGCCTCTAAGTGGCTAAAGAAGTAATCAAGGAATATATTCTTGGCGTGGGGGTGGGGAGTGAATGTGCAAAACAACCATGTGTCCTGAGATACATGTGCAGTTTCTAGAACTGTCAGATGCAGCATTTTATATTCATGCTTATTTTGTGCAACACGCACACCCCAAAATTCATGCATCAAGGCATTTCTCCAAGAAAAATGTGCCTGATTCTGTAATAATATTAACCCATATTTGTATTATATCTCTAAAATGAATCCATATTACACCTGTTTATGCTTTTAGTTTAAGGGAAGCACTGAAGACAATGTCAAGTGCAGTATCCTATTATCACAGTTTGTAGGTCTTAAGAGGATGCTTTCATCTCAAGGTCACCTGCGATGCCAAACGTGGTATAAACAGACCAAAGAAATCTTTCTGAAATCTGATTGGCTGCAGGAAGCTCTGTCGGACATTTGGCGTCCAAAAATAACTCGCAAACTGGAACAGTCCATTCTGGGTTGTGGCATTCGGGAGCCAAAACGTTTGAGAACTAAGCTGTTCGAAAACAAGATAGAACTGTAGTTCCTTAAGTTTTCTTTTTAAAAAAATCAGTGTTCTTAAAGTCCAGGGTGCATGTCTGACTATACAGTGGTACCTCAGGTTAACTACTTAATTCGTTCCTGAAACTGTTCTTAACCTGAAGCACCACTTTAGCTAATGGGGCCTCCTGCTGCGCTGCCGGAGCCCGATTTCTGTTCTTATCCTGAAGCAAAGTTCTTAACCTGAAGCACTATTTCTGGGTTAGCGGAGTCTGTAACCTGAAGCGTATGTAACCTGAAGCATATGTAACCCGAGGTACCACTGTAATTAGCTTTCCCTTGCCTCTGTTTCATGAAACGCAAGAGGACACGATCAGTTCTTTGCAAGGGTTCCAGTACTTCCACTTTGCCAATCAGTTCCTCCCTGTAACAAATTATACAGAGGGATTGATCATGGAATAAATATGTTCCCTTAGATATGTGTTCCACCTAGTTGATGTATGCTTAGAATTGTATCAATCACTGTAACAATTCTGACCTGAAACTGGTTGGCATTTTTATTTCTCATTTCTTGTTATTTCCTATTGAAATGCACCGTTGACTTGCAAGTCACTCGTGTTAATGTGGGATTTATGAAAGTACTCTGTCTTGTCATAATTCCACAAAATTCATGCTCCTTTTATCTGCTTTCTGGATCTCAGAAGTCTCTAGAAAATGTTTATCTTCTGTAAATATCTGTGATAGACTGATGAAAACATCAGCCCTGACTTATGGCAGCCTCCAAAACAAAACAAAAAGACACAGGGTTGCTAGTTGGCAGCTGTACTATATTTTTTGGAAATTGCTAAAGTGATTCCTCTGCACAACAGTAGTTCTACTGACAGCCATCATAATTATAGGTTATTTACAATTCATCCTATAGACTCAAAGATTTTTTAAAGGATTTGTATAGTAATAACCTGTTCCGCGAAGCCCACTGCATCATACCCATAAATGTAATTAGTAGTGATCAGTCTTTTTCATTCCCATTCGGAGACATTGCACTGTGTGGAAATGGCAGTAAATTTTACTTTCTGCGTTACCAATGACTTTAAGAGGTGAAAAACCTTAGCTGGGAAAAGGCTGTTCTCCTGCTGCCGTGCTGGCTGGTGAAATCACTCATTCCCACCCCAGCCTCTAAATTGTTATCAATCAATCAATCAATCAATCAATCAATGAATTTCTACCTTTTTATCCCACCAGGGAACAGCATCATCCATGTACTTAGTCACATTCCTTTAATGACTCCTGTTCATCGCTCAAGTGAAATTATAGGACTTTCGCTTTGCAAATTAAATATTTCTCTTCTCAGATAAGAGACTCAAATATAAGACCTTGACACACCACTCAAGAATATTTTGCATGTACGTGAGCTCATCACAACCCATTTTCTGGATTAGGTATTCTAACCTTAAAATTCCAATGATTGCTATCTTGTCGGGAGAGGAAAGGCAAGGATTTTTAAATCTGGATGGGCTTGTTTTTCTAGATACTATCATTAGTACCCAAAGCTAAGAGATTTCTCTCTTTCTCTGTCTCTATGCATATACACATATACATCTGTGTGATAAATCTTTTATTTACATGTATGCTGATGATATTGTCCTGCAGCTATCTGATAAGAGTGCTAAAAAGATTAACACTATTCTTCATGCTCTGCTTGTGAAAGCAACAAACTGACTTCATGAAAATCAGCTCACACTCAATTTAGATAAGACTGCTGGGTTATTGTTCACTGGCAGCCTCTGCCAAGGATGAAGGTTTCTAAATTAATGAAGACAGAACAAACAATCACATGGCTGATCCTACAGAGAATGTTTAAAGATTATAGATGATGATTTTTCATGTAAACATGACACTTGTATATTGCAAAAACTAACCATGGCACAAGAACGTTGACCACATTTTCAAACTCCCCATATGGAAGAATCCCCACTTTTTCACTCAAAGGCAACCCTGTATCAGGAAATTTTTAATGTCTAATGTTTTACATTTTTGAATGTGTTGTCAGCAGCCCAGAGTTGCTGGGTAAACCCAGCCAGATGGGCGGGGTATAAATATAATAATAATAATAATTATAATTATTATTGTTGTTGTTGTTGTTGTTTTATGTGCTTAATGTTTTAATTTGTTAGAAGCCGCCAGAGTGGCTGGGGCAACCCAATCAGATGGGTGTCATATGAATAATAAATTGTTGTTGTTGTTGTTGTTGCACGTTGGTCACCAGTAAATCATAGGAAATGACTCTCATTTATTTGATACTTTGATTGATCAATTCATTCTCAGTATCTCCCAGAACACAAAATTCTTTTCAGCTGAAGATTTTAAGATGTTGGTAGAAAATTGACAAATGATCAAAAAGGTTTCCTGAGCGTACATAGGTGGAAAAAAATAGTGTACATATCCACTGCAGAGGGGCAGGGTGGAATTGCTGCGAGGACTGAGTTTGTGGTAACCTTTGGGGCTATCATGGTGGTGGTGTTGATTTTGTGTATGTCTGTAAGCAGTGTTGATTGGTTACGTGCCATGGGTTGAGGTTGTTCTGCGCCATGTGTGGTACAATTCTGTTGAGGTTTATTGAAGACAAGCAGAAGCACAGAAGCAGCTTCAAATACAGTGGTACCTCGGGTTAAGAACTTAATTCATTCTGGAGATTCGTTCTTAACCTGAAACTGTTCTTAACCTGAGGTACCACTTTAGCTAATGGGGCCTCCCACTGTCGCTGCGCCACCACCGCATGATTTCTGTTCTCATCCTGAAGCAAAGTTCTTAACCCGAGGTAATGTTTCTGGGTTAGCGGAGTCTGTAACCTGAAGTGTCTGTAACCCAAGGTACCACTGTAGTGTCTGAGAATAGTGCCTTCATCCCCACTATGGGAAGCAGAATGCTGGAATAGAATGGCTGGACTAAATCCTACAGAGCTCTTCTTATGTTTTAACAAGCATAATCTTGATGATGCTACAGTCACATTAGGTAAAGGTAAAGGGACCCCTGACCATTAGGTCCAGTCATGGCCGACTCTGGGGTTGCGGTGCTCATCTCGCTTTATTGGCCGAGGGAGCCTGTGTACAGCTTCTGGGTCATGTGGCCAGTATGACTAAGCCACTTCTGGCAAACCAGAGCAGCACACAGAAATGCCATTTACCTTCCCGCCGGAGCGGTACCTATTTATCTACTTGCACTTTGACGTGCTTTCGAACTGCTAGGTTGGCAGGAGCAGGGACCGAGCAACGGGAGCTCACCTCGTCACGGGGATTCAAACCTCCGACATTCTGATCGGCAAGTCCTAGGCTCTGTGGTTTAACCCACAGTGCCACCTGAGTCACATTACTTGTGCCCTATACAAAATAATAAGAAGAAAAGGATTCATCCCTGCATACTAATAGGACCTCTTATTTGAAAGTAGGGCAATGGTAAATAAAAAGTTTCAGGATTGCAATTCAGGTCTAAGGTAAGAAACTCAAGTTGCTACATGCAGTGCAATAAATAACCGCTACTAAACAATGAGATTATTAGGAATAGTTGTACATGTAACGGTTGCAATACAGATACTCCCAAGCAAGTGTTAGCAGGGCACTGATTGGTTATTTTCATTATTAAAAAGACAACGTGGTTACATTTGTCAGAACTATACAAGCAATATATAATAAGAACAAGAACTATACAACCAATATACAAGCATGCACACATGTACACATACAAAAATTTGTCTGCTAAGTACTTTTGGAAGCTAACAGAATGTTCAATTTTTTCCTTCAGCTCAATGTATATAATTTAATATCCATGCTTCTCAGGTTAATGATGTATGTGGGTCTCTCTGGAACCTTTTGAAAGATGGAAAGCAGTGGAAACATAACAGCTTCAGCAATTCATCAGTGAAATAAATCATCCCCAAACAGTTGAGGCATCCACATCCATAAAGCAGAGGCGGCAGCAAACAAAATAAATCTGGCTGGATCTAAGAGTAGAGCCAAAATTTCTCAGAACAAAATTTCTTAGATTTTCCTTTTTCCCACCCTCCTAGATACAGATACCACTTTGCAGAATTTTCTCCAATTATTATCCCACCCCCTTTTGTGGTGGCCACCGTCCTGGGGGATACAAAATGGCGTCATGCCACCAAAACACTTGCTGCAGTTGCGGAAGCATTGCAGCAGCAAGAATGAAAACAATAGTTAGGAAGTAAAAAGAGAGTTGTGTTACTGCAAATGGGGAGCCTCGCTACTCAGAAATCATTGAAGAATTCCTCCTCCCCCTGGATAAATCTGGTGAAATGGTTTCCCCGATTTCTCTGTCCCCAAATAGAGGGAAAGTACTCAGAGTTGTTTGTGCGCAGTTCTAGTTGAATCTGAATTGACCGTTCTGCAAGCAAATGGACCCTTCCATTCACAGAAGGCAACAAGATCCAGCCCAGGCTCCCTGTTGGAGGTAGGGGACAATGTTTAAGATATTCTCCTCCCTGCAGTTCCTCTCATGCTGGTCTAGAGGACTACCCAACCCTCTAGAGCACCTTCTCCAGAGGCACTGAGGGCTGCAAGGCAAAACCTGCTTTCTCAATCTATCCAGTAAAAGTGGAATTCCATTGAGTGGGTTCCACCTAATGCTGTATCTGGTAACAGAGACTCGGAAGTGAGTGATGGGTACCTGTTTTCCCAATCAGTGTATCTGCTGAACTGGATCAATTAGTTATCTTAGTTATCCAAGTCAGCGAAATTATTACGTTTGTGGAAACGGTATATCTGTCCTATTTAATTCTTACCTACACGTATTCTGCCAAGGGTGGACTTGGGTCTTTTGATTTCAGTGGTGCCCTGTGCAAGGCCAAAATTGGGCGCCCCCTGCCTCTTGCCCCTTGTCAGACTCGAGGGATTCTCTCCTCCCCTGGTAGCCTCCAGGATCAAAGAAGAAACAAGGAAGCTTGTTTTTATGGTTTTATTCAGTAATCATGGAGCAGAACAACGAATCTAGACTTGGATGCCATTATGACATTGCTTACTCTGAGCCCCTACTTTTCCTTCCCTGACAACATCTGGTGTCCTTACAAAAAGTCTCAGAACTCACACATCTCTGCATTCTTTGTTCATGAATCCTGATTGACCGGCGTGTCCTTGGAGAAGTGGGAGCAGGTTCCCAGGCTCTCTAGAGCCCGTGTGGTGTAGTGGGTAAGAGTGGTAGACTCGTAATCTGGTGAACTGGGTTCGATTCCCTGCTCCTCCACACGCAGCTGCTGGGTGACCTTGGGCTAGTCACACTTCTCTGAAATCTCTCAGCCTCACTCACCTCACAAAGTGTTTGTTGTGGGGGAGGAAGGGAAAGGAGAAGGTTAGCTGCTTTGAGACTCCTTCAGGTAGTGATAAAGCAGGATATCAAATTCAAACTCCTCCTCCTCCTCCTCTTCTTCTTCGGATGTGTCTATTATCTGTTCTCCAACTCCCCCTCCTTCTCTCAATACCTCAAAACTTGGCAGTTCTCTGTCCTGTCGTAAATCAGTCCTGTCTCCATCGCTTCTTGCAGCTACTGGAGAATGGGGGGGGCACTCTTCCCATTCCCCTGCCTCCTCTGAAAGAGGCAGAGGGGAAGGAGAGGGCATTTTGGAGACTTCCGGGGAGGCGCCTCCGGTAATGGTGGAATTCCTTTGACTGGGAGGAATCCGCTCCGTGGGAATCTGGGTCTGGCCGCCACGGCGAAGGCGGAGACCCGTTAAAATCACAGGCGGGAGAAGCCTGTGAACGTGGGATTCGGCGGGCACCTTTTGCGCCTCCCCCACTCGTGGGGAACCCCGGTTTTTGGGGCTCTGGAGCGACGTGGGGTGAGCGGCGCGGTGCATCGAATCGTCTGCTTCTTCCACGGAGCGAAGCCGCATAGCTGTTGCCGGAGAGCGCTGACCTTTTCCTGTGGACAATTTGACTTTAAAGTAATTACCCGTGAGTAGAGCTGAAGCGGAAGAATTGGATTTCTAAATGTTTAATTTGGTACCGTAACGGGGAGGTTCAAAACAGGAACGCCTTCCCCTTTTGTAAATAGACTGAGGCAATGAAGTTGTAAGCTGGAGTCCTGGAAGGTCTTTTGTAAAAGATCAAATTTCCAACGGTAAAGAACATTAAACCCCCTCTTGGAGGCAGGAGAAGAGAGGGGGAAGTTGCGGATTGAGCATGCCTGCAGGAGAGAGCGAAGAGACTTAAAACACCGCCGCTCTGACCCTGGAAACGGGCTGCTAGTAGGACTGACGTCTTTTGGAATGTTCATTGACAGCGCTTAGAACGTTCACTGACAGCTAGTTAAACAAGAGAAATACATTGTTTCTACTGTCTCCGGCTGCTTTAAAAAGGAGTAAAAGTAACTGAAAATTGAAACTAATTTGAAACTAACTTTGGATTGTTTAAAAGAGGATACTATTGACTATTACAAATAGAAACTGTTTCCCCCTAGTGGAAGCCTTTGAAACTGGTTGCTTTACAAGAGTTGGACTAGGGGAATTTCCAGCTGCAAGTTAAAAACCATGAGACTCTGGGACTGACCTTGAATCTTTCAAATGTTATGGTAAATGGAAGAGGAAAAACAGACCAGTCAACTGCTGACAAAACATTAAGGTCTGGGAGGACTTGGTAACAATCCAGGAGAGGTCTATCATTAGGCCCTCCTGTTCTTTTTGTTGCTGTCTTTGTACTAGTATATTTGAAACCAAGAGGAATGTCGACAGAAGAGGCTTTGGTGGCTGCATTATATAAGATAAATGACTCATTGGATCAGCTTCACAGGAAAATGGACATGATAAATGCGAAAGTGGATGTTTCAATTGCTGAGGTTGACTTGAATGCAGGGAGTATGGATAATACCAATACAGAAACCACCCAGAAATTGATACAAGAACCTATTTTGATATGGCAAGCTGTGGAGGAAGTCAGGGAAAAAGCTGTTGCTGCTGAAGGTAAAGTAACACTATTGGAGAGAAAGAGAAAGAGAGCCCCAGTCCTACAGAGGCAATTTGATGAACATAAGTTGACGCTCGTTATGACTGAACTTAAGGAAAAACAGACGAATTTGAGGATTAGAGTTCACCTTTGGTGGACATGCCCAAGGATTAAGACACTCTGGGAGATGATTCATAACGAAATGAAAAAGGTATTTAAATATACCCTTTTGAAGAAACCAGAGGCCTTTCTCCTGGGCATGGTCAGCCAATTGGTGTTAAAGAAGGATAGAATTTGTTTCATGTATGCAACAATAGCAGCAAGAATACTCATTGTGAAGTACTGGAAGACACAAGATTTATCCATTCGGGAAGAATGGCAGGTGAAGTTGATGGACTATATGGAATTGGCGGAAACGACTGGCAGAAATCCGAGACCAGGGAGAAGAGCTGGTGGAAGAAGACTGGGAAAAGTTTAAGACTATTTATAGAAATATTGTAAAAATAATGAATGTTAGAAAAATGTTGGAATGAAGTTATATGGCTTTAGTAGAAATGCTATAAGGAATCAAGTATAAATAGATTAACAGTGTATTAAAGGGAAAATAAGGCTAGAATATGTTAAGATAATTATAGGATAGAAAACAGAGGAAGATGGAAAGGAATTGCTGAAATAATTAATAGAAGTGGAAAACAGAAAGGGAGGTGTGAGGAGGTCGTGGAAATAAGGGAATGAAAGATAAGACATTGAAATTGTTCTGTGTTTGAAATGGTTTGTGTTATGCTTTGTTAGTTTTATGTTTTTCTTTTTTTCTTTTTTTGTTCTTTCTTTTTTTTGTCTTTCTGTTTTGTTGTGTTTAAATGGTTGAAAATTAATAATTTTTTTTTTTAAAAAAGGAGAGGGCATTTTGCAGCCCCTCTCTTCAGACCAGTCCCTGACACCCCTTAGGCTAAGCATCCAGTACAGTACAACAGGTCACACTGCCCTAAATCCACCTCTGATTCTTCAGGAAGGATGGAGCAAGAAGAAACACTTATTACAAACCTCTTTCTATCCAGTCATATTCCACAGGTGACCTTGTGGAACTTATGAAAAGGATGGTGTACGTCAAACTCAAAACTTCCCTCTGCCCAGCTCAGGTTGGCTCAGGCAGTAGTAGCCCCACAGAGGTGACTTGTTGTTGTTGTTGTTTAGTCGTTTAGTCGTGTCCGACTCTTCGTGATCCCATGGACCAGAGCACGCCAGGCACTTCTGTCTTCCACTGCCTCCCGCAGTTTGGTCAAACTCATGCTGGTAGCTTCAAGAACACTATCCAACCATCTCGTCCTCTGTCGTCCCCTTCTCCTTGTGCCCTCCATCTTTCCCAACATCAGGGTCTTTTCCAGGGAGTCTTCTCTTCTCATGAGGTGGCCAAAGTATTGGAGTCTCAGCTTCAGGATCTATCCTTCCAGTGAGCACTGTGTAAGGGGTGACTTACACAGGCTTAATTTAAGTCAACCTAAGTTCCTCTAACTTACTATACTTAGGAAGCATGTATGCATACTAAGAACGGATATACGTATAAGCTAAACAAGCTATAGATTAGGGCCCCACTCGCTTGGGGCCCCCAAAAAAATTTAAAGGAAAAAAAACCCTGGATGTGCATTTTCAAAATATAAGATAAAAAACAAATAAAATAAAACCTACATACAGCAACAGTGTTTTGTGTTGTGTAGGCTCCTTTGATATAAGTATTGGGCCCCGCCTGCTAGCCTGCTCCCTAAAATATCACTGGTTTGCTCATTTCTGTATACAGCGGTACACAAAAAACAGCGACAATTTGTTGCTGACAAAGGACAGCTGGACATATAAAGGGCCCCATTACCTTCAGTAGCATAGGGCCTCATCAAACCTAAATCTGGCCCTGCTAAGGACTACAATACAGCATTCAATGTCATTCTGGAGTGTTTTGACTTTCAAAATATTGCCTCAAACCAACAAATTACACTCTGATAATCTGTCTTGCTCAACTGACACACACAAAAGCCATACCTCCCCATCCCATTTTTCTCATCTCTTGCTTCTTTTTATCCTTGTCTTTCTTAACTATTACCAGGCAACATTTCGCTGAAAACAAACGCAGGATTTCCATAATTCTACAGAAACTGCAGTCTGTAAGTGCAGATACATAATGTAGTTATTAGAGGTATCTTTTGTTCCAGACAGATTTTACCCACATGCTGCACCTGCTTTTCAATAGTTTTAATTCTAATTTTAGTTTTATTTGTTTTGTGGCTAGCATTATAAAAACCTGGGGGGGGGATACCAATAGAAAAGTAAAATCCACACAATAATACAAAAGATCAACAAGCTTTTTACTGTGGTTCTGTCTTAAATGCAAAACAAGGTATACGGAATAGAAACGTGGAAACAGAATTAAATGGGACAGATATAAAGTTTCCATAAATGTAATAATCTCACATGTCATTGATATGGATAACTACTTCATCTAATTACCTTATAAAAGTTCTTCACTTCTTCCTGATGAAGGACTAAGAAATAGCAGACATTGTAATAGAAGCATATGCCATAATAACATTTGTTGGTCTTTACAGCCCCCAAAGACTCTTAGTTGTAATAGTATCAGCTGCTGTGTGCAAACTATTCTATATATTGACTTAATTACAGGCTCAAGCTGCTGCCTTGTGCCCTTATCTCTGCAAGTTTTGCTAGCAACAAAAAAGTTAATAGCATTGGAGAATCAATGCAAATTACCTTTTGTCTGCCTTGAGGAACCCCTACAAGATCAGAGGACCACAATGCAGAGGCCCAACTGGCCTCAACAGTGCTTCCTTGCTTTTCACATTTTCTTGCCTGTTGAAGTCTTGTTTGTGATGAAAAGATTCTCATTTTAAAGTAAAGATTGTTCTGTCTTGTTTTTATGTTTTTATATTGCTGTACTCTATCCTGATATTTTATGACAGGGCAGTATATAAATACTGAGATACATTCAGTATGGGTGTTATTTAGAAATCTTCAGACTTAATTGTTGGTTAATGCCACATTTTGAATCTATGTTGTTGTTGTTGTTTAATCATTTAGTCATGTCCGACTCTTCGTGACCCCATGGATCAGAGCACGCCAGGCACTCCTATCTTCCACTGCCTCCCGCAGTTTGGTCAAACTCATGCTGGTAGCTTCGAGAACACTGTCCAGCCATTTCGTCCTCTGTCGTCTCCTTCTCCTTGTGCCCTCGTTCTTTCCCAACATCAGGGTCTTTTCCAGGGAGTCTTCTCTTCTCATGGGGTAGCCAAAGTATTGGAGCCTCAGCTTCAGGATCTGTCCTTCCAGTGAGCACTCAGGGCTGATTTCCTTCAGGATGGATGCGTTTGATCTTCTTGCAGACCACGGGACTCTCAAGAGTCTCCTCCAGCAGCCCAATTCAAAAGCATCAATTCTTCGGCGATCAGCCTTCTTTATGGTCCAGCTCTCACTTCCATACATCACTGCTGGGAAAACCATAGCTTTAACTATACAGATTTTTGTCCTATACTTCATTTCATTAATCAGACAGATCAGGTACACTTTCCCCTCTCTAATGCTCTTCAGAGAGAAAACTCTGGTGATGCTTGCTCATTTTATTGTTGGATGCCACCTTGAACATTCTTTGCATTAAAAGATGAGGTAAAAAAACACACCCATAAAAATAAGGCTGCCGTATATCCCGGGTCACTCACTGTCTTTATTGCTCATTTCTCATATTAGATGTGCAGCCTCTGAGCACAATTCTCCATATTAGTCAGATCCTTTGAGCAACCTAAAAATTTCAGGGAGAAAGATTCAAAGAGATTTTTAAATACAGAAAAGGACTGTGCAGACCTTTGTGGCTGGAGGCTCCTTGTACTGGCACAAAATGGGATTCTGCAGAACACTTCCATCTAAACTATCAGTGTCCACATGCAGACTTTCTGCAAACAGTTGTACACAGATAAAATCTCTAGACAAACCTAGACAGCATATTAAAAGGTAGAGACATCACCTTACCAACAAAGGTCCGTATAGTAAAAGCTATGGTTTTCCCAGTAGTGATGTATGGAAGTGAAAGCTGGACCATAAAGAAGGCTGATCGCCGAAGAATTGATGCTTTTGAATTATGGTGCTGGAGGAGACTCTTGAGAGTCCCATGGACTGCAAGAAGATCAAACCTAGCCATTCTGAAGGAAATCAGCCCTGAGTGCTCACTGGAAGGACAGATCCTGAAGCTGAGGCTCCGATACTTTGGCCACCTCATGAGAAGACTCCCTGGAAAAGACCTTGATGTTGGGAAAGATGGAGGGCACAAGGAGAAGGGGATGACAGAGGATGAGATGGTTGGACAGTGTTCTCGAGCTACCAGCATGAGTTTGGCCAAACTGCGGGAGGCAGTGGAAGACAGAAGTGCCTGGCGTGCTTTGGTCCATGGGGTCACGAAGAGCTGGACATGACTAAACGACTAAACAACAACAGCAAAATCTCTCGTGTGTAGCAGTAGGGCTGCCATACGTCTGGATTCCCCCGGACATTACCAGGATTTCAAAGGTGGAATTGATGTCCGAGGGGTAATTTCCAAAAGATGGCGCTTTGTCCTGGATCGTAGGCAAGTCAATTGAAAAATCACTCAACAAGTTTCAGGGTGTCTTGGTTTTTAGTTTTTGAAATATGGCAACCCTAGAGCAGGGAACCATTTCTTCATCGGCATTATGATTATACAATGGAATGCGATTTATAGTTATCTAAGTGTATTGATTTGTGAAAGGATAACATCTCTGAAAAGGAATAAACTGCAAATGTCCTATGGTAAAAACTGATTTGTAGAATATTGGTATTCACAGCTGTATTGAGGTCCATTGTGGAAAGAAGGTAGGGCTACAACTATCCATGAATAAATAGGTACAGGGGGCTGCATTTAAAATAAACCTCAGTGGTCTGTTTATTATCTCCATTCTTTAGCACATAGTGCCAAGGTTGTAGTAAGAATGTTTATTTAGCAATCTATATAAATATGTACTTTTCCAATATGCTGCACAGTTTATACAGTTATGACAGGCCATGAAGGAAGACATAAATGCATTTTGTGGGTGGTTTTTGTCCCCCTCGTTTACATTAGAAGCATTTTCATAATGATGAGAAATTATATAATAAACCTAAGAGCACCAAGTTGTTCCATTCCAATCAATGCTTTATGGTGGGAAGGATAATTTCAAAGAAACAGAGCTACTAGACGAAATAGCAATGAAATAAGATTAATATAGAATTTGAAAAAGCAAAAGGAATGGGAGGGGACTACTTACATTATCTTAATGGCATGTGTGCATGGTCTTGTCTACAGAGTATACAGATGGACTGAAGGTGTTTATCTGACATTATTTTTATGGTTCTGCATTATGGCAAATGCTTTTGCTCCTGAGTTTCTTTCTGATTTCATCTCAACTTGTTGGAATTACTTGTAATAAGACTCGAGTTTTCAGAAGAATGGCTGAGGAGGGAAAAGGGTGGTTGCACTGCCTACAATCTAGATGAGAAATCTGTGCCTCTCCAGCATACTCTCAACATTTCTCCAGTGAAAATATGGACCTATTATTATTATTATTGTCAGGGGTTCAGGGAGAGAGGCACAGGGTAGGCAGGAGATGGAGAGCGATGGGGAAGAATTACAAGCCAGCGAGGAAGAGGATGACAATGATTCAAGAGATTCCATGAGTCTTTCCAGCGAATCAGAGGATTCCCAGAAGGGGGCGCCGGTGGTCAAGGCCAGGGGAGCCCCAGGGGGACGTGTCAGGAGCAGGGGGCCAGCGGAGGATCCCAAAGTGGCAGCTGGGCGTCAGGACCAGCCTCCCCACCAGAGTGCAGCGAAGAGGGTGGAGTTTCCAGTGTGTCAGAGGAAGCAGCTCCGGCAGCAGAGAAAGGAGGGAGGTCAGAGCAAGCCGCCCTCCCGGACGGGGAGGGGAGCAGTGAAGGGAGTAGTGTAACTGTCAAAAGGACAGTTAGAGGTTTGGCGCGCGCGCCTCGTTCAAATGAAGCGGCGCGCGGAAGTACAGGGAGCCCGGAGGAGGGGCCAGGTCCCAAAGCCCGCAGGAGGGGGAAGAGCAGTCTGATTCCGCGTCAGAGGAATCCAGGAGGGCGAAACCCCAGCGGGCAGAAGGACCCTGCGGAAAAGGAAGGAGAGAAAGAGGTGGAGCAGCACAAGCCTCTTAAATTGGTGCAGGGGAGGGACGGATTCAGAGGGGACTTCAGCGGTCTAAGCGTAAGAGACGTAAGGCTGCGCGCCTAGGATGTCAAGCAAAGAATGGACTGCAATAAACACCTTTGTATATAAGAAGACATAGGCGTTGGTCTTTTGTGAGCTGAGACTTGAGGCAGCCTTGACAGTTATTATTATTATTATTATTATTATTATTATTATTATTATTATTATTTCCTGCCCATCTCACTGGGTTGCCGCAGCTATTCTGGGCAGCTTCCAACATATAAAAACAGAACAAAACATTAAACATTGCAAAACTTCCCTATATAGGGCTGCCTTCAGATGTCTTCTCAAGGTTGTAAAGTTACTCATCTCATTGGCTTGGGGATCACTTAACTCCATACCCTCCAACATTTCTCTGATGAAAATAGGGACATGGGTTAAACCACAGGGCCTAGGGCTTTCTGATCAGAAGGTCGGCAGTTCGAATCCCCGCGACGGGGTGAGCTCCCGTTGCTCAGTCCCTGCTCCTGCCAACCTAGCAGTTCAAAAACACGTCAAAGTGCAAGTAGATAAATAGGTACCACTATGGTGGGAAGGTAAACGGCATTTCCGTGCACTGCTTTGGTTCGCCAGAAGCAGCTTAGTCATGCTGGCCACATGACCCGGAAGCTGTACGCCGGCTCCCTCGGCCAATAAAGCGAGATGAGCTTCGCACCCCAGAGTCAGGCACAACTGGACCTAATGGTCAGGGGTCCCTTTACCTTTACCTTAAGGAAAAGCGGGACATTCTGTGATCAAATCAGAAACCAGGACACCTTCTGGTTTCTCTTAAGATCCTATAAATCTTTCACCTTAACCTAGAGGTTAGGTTATTTGTTGTGGTTGTAGGCTGCTACTTGAAGGAGGACCTTAAATCCCTTAAGGCCCAACAGAGCAGCTGATCAATGTTGCCTGAATCTGGAGCATTCTACTCAAAGCTGGCAAAGATATGGAAAATGTCAAATCAATTATACTGATTGAATCTGTTGAATCATTTGGTTCTGCAGACTTCTTTCTTTTCCTTTTCCTGCAAGTTTTTACTGAACTCTCTTAAAACTTATCCATTCACTCACACTTTGCCTCCATTGCTTCTGCTGAAAGCTCTGAATGCCTATTCCCCAGATTCCTAAATTTCCTTCTAAAATGTCTAAATAATTCTTCGCTTTTTTCTCAGTTGTAAAAAAACAAACGAAACCATCTTACAGTAGAGAGAGACTAATGAAGTGCGTAAATAAACTCAACATCCAATCTTCATCTGAAAAACTGCAGAGCAAGGAAGAAATAGAGGTGGCCAGAAGTGAATTATTTGCTTTATGCGGCTGTTGCTCAGTAACTGAGGGGGAAAAAACAACCTTCACTGAATGGGAGGGAGGACCTTACATTAGGCAGGAGTCTGTTTATGGCTTTTGAAATCGTAGTTTTAATTATTGATCAGACACTTCAGCCCAACATTCCTAAATTTGGCACATTAACTGTGGAAAGATCCTTAGCCAAAAAGTCTAAAGACATCAACACATTTTCAGTTTCCCTTCAAGTATTCGCCGGCAGCTTTGCTGGCTATACAATGTTAACATTCACATTAGTCGTTTTCCTTATGTTCCGCTTGTAATGAAATCTCTAAAGGTGTCTAACAGTGGCTTCTAGATGGTGTCTTACATATATCTAATTGGAATGGTATTCAATGTTTATTATTATTAACATTTCTATACGGCCTTTCCATTGAACAACTCAAGGTGGTTTATGTTCTCGTTATGACAAAACACACAGCCTTCCAATCAACCGTCAACAATATGGAAAAGTAAAATTGCGTGCATATTTAAAAATGAATGAAGCCAAGATTTGTGTGTGTATATTTCAAAGCTAAGCTTTTTTAAAGAAGAAAAAGACCAAATAGCTAAAAGGTCTGAAAGCACTGAGTAAGTAGAAATGCTTTAACCTTGCTAGTGGAAGTAATTCAGCACCTCTGCCACTGCAGTCACACAGCAGTGACCACCTCACTGCCTCGCCTCTTCCTTCCAGTAGACCACAGTGACATTTAGCAGACCCAAGTCAGAGGAGCGGTCCACTCTTGAAAGGGGATGAATCAATACTGTGATTGGTGCTGACCTTTGTGAAGTGAAGTGTGAAGTGTTGGTGCTGATCTTTAAAGCCCTAAACAGCCTCGGCCCAGTATACCTGAAGAAGCGTCTCCACTCCCATCGTTCAGCCCGAACACTGATGTCCAGCTTTGTAGACCTTCTGGCGGTTCCCTCACTGCGAGAAGTGAGGTTACAGGGAACCAGGCACAAGGCCTTCTTGGTAGTGGCGCCCACCCCGTGGAATGCCCTCCCGTCAAATGTCAAGGAAATAAACAACTATCTGACTTTTAGAAGACATCTGAAGGCAACCCTGCTTAGGTAATTTTTAAATGTTTGATGTCCTATCATGTTTTTAATACTCTGTTGGGAGCCACCCAGAGTGGCTGGGGAAACCCAGTCAGATGGGCAGGCTATAAATAATAAATTATTATTATTATTATTATTATCATTATTATTATGTGAGTATTTACCTGCTTGCATATGTCATGGTTCCTGCTGGATCCTGCCTACATACTGGGGTGAAGTATGCAACAGATCTTAGGGCAGCATTCACTGATAACTCTTGAACATGTCAATGTATGAAAATCCAGTTGAGCAAAACTAGCAAACATTTCTTAGTTGGAAAATAGGGACTGCTTTCTAAGTTTTGCCAGCTTAAATGTGCTCTGATTTTATTTATGCTGGCTTGCTTCAGCCCTAGAAATCAGAATACTTTATTCTGATTTTGTGCTCTTTAATAATGCATATCATATTATAGCACACAGTTTATTCTCTTTTCAGCTTAACTTTTGTTTATGAATATTAAAACACCCATTCGTTTTTCTGCTGTGACCTGAGAGACCCCTTCAATTTACTCTTTGCAGCGTATGCCAGAAAGCTGTCCTTTGAGATAAAGTGCTCAAATGCTTTGGGATTTGTGTAGTAATTCGGAAACCAGGCAGATAACTAGACCTCGTGACACCCCCTCTTTTTACAGCAGCAGGAGTTTGAATAAGGCTTAGCTCTTTCTGAGTGTGAAGAGGCCAATACGATTGGCCTCTGCGACAACAGACTTCAGTCAACTTTTTCTGTTTATTCTCATGAGGACTGCTTGTGATCAGTGTCACCCCCGTCATGAGAAGCTGATTCACTGCTGCAGAGGCAGCCTGCTGAGCAAAAACCAATGAGATTCAGTAATCTCATTATTCTGTAGCTCCCAAAAAGAAGGTAAGTTCAAGATATTAGAGAATGTAACTAGCACTGTGGAAATCTCAAGGCAACCTCTGAGAGCTAACAGAATGAGGAATGCTGTTGTTCCTTTTAATCAAATCAGACACAGTATCTTTGTACAGCTAATTTGCTTACTTTTTTCAAAGGTAGCATTGGGATGTTAAAATTACCACCCTATGGAATCAGTATGGCAAATGTAACCATAAGGTTTCAAAATGCGTTTTCACTTTAGCACTGATAGGGCTTAGTGTGGTTTGGTGGTACATTCTGAAAGGCACACTATATAGTGACAGTCACTATAGCCACTGCCCCATGCAGCGCACTGTGTTGGTCCATTTAGTCTTAGAAACCTATATCTCTGCACATACCAAGCAGCAACAGAACATTGTGGGATGCTCAGTTTATTAGGATCAGCGGACAGTCGCGATAGAGAAATCTACCAATTTCGGTTCTCGGCATTCCTCATTTCCCCACTCTTAAATTCACTTCTGCAGCTATTTATGAAATCCGTGTGGAAATTCATCAACGTGTCGTTCAGATTTCTTCATATATATATATATATGGATAGATATAGATATAGATATAGATATAGATATAGATATAGATATAGATATAGATATAGATAGAGATAGAGATAGAGATAGAGATAGAGATAGAGATAGAGATATAGATATAGATATAGATATAGATATAGATATAGATATACACACACACACACACACACACACACACACACACACACACAGTGGTACCTTGGGTTAAGTACTTACCGTATTTTTCGCTCTATAAGACGCACCAGACCACAAGACGCACCTAGTTTTTGGAGGAGGAAAACAAGAAAAAAAATATTCTGAATCTCAGAACAGCAAGAGGATCGCACGCAGAAGCAGCAATCCCTCTTGCTGTTCTGGCTTCTGGGATAGCTGTGCAGCCTGCATTCGCTCCATAAGACGCACACACATTTCCCCTTACTTTTTAGGAGGGAAAAAGTGAGTCTTATAGAGCAAAAATTACAGTAATTCATTCCGGAGCTCCGTTCTTAACCTGAAACTGTTCTTAACCTGAAGCACCACTTTAGCTAATGGGGCCTCCCGCTGCCACCGCACAATTTCTGTTCTCATCCTGAAGCAAATTTCTTAACCTGAAGCACTATTTTTGGGTTAGCGGAGTCTGTAACCTTAAGCGTATGTTACCTGAAGCGTATGTAACCTGAGGTACCACTGTATAGTGTTTATTTGGTTGGACTAAAAGGCATATACAGCTGTTGGCAAATGCTGAAGATGCACTTCTTTATCCTGGCTGAGATGGCTGCTCACCTTCCCTGTGGGACGGTGTTGCAGGCAGGCCACACACCCTCCCTGTGCACAGCAGGGGAGTGGCAGTGTCCTCGCAGCAGAGGGGAGCCCCGGCCACGTCACACCTCCAGCCGACCAATCCGGTTGGTGGGTGTGCGTGTGGTTTACAGCATTTAAGCAGCTGCACGGCTGGGGCATCGCCCTCTTGTTCCCGCGTCTGCAGATCTCCTGCCCTCCCATCCTCTTTTCATGTGTTCAACATCTTGGCCTTGCTATGGACCTTGGTTGGTCACCTGTTGAGGGGGCCTGGTAGGAATGCGATTTGATTTTCGCCTACCTTGTAGCAATCCTCACAACTTTGTAAGGTTTGGCGGTTAATCATTGGTAAAACCTGGTTCATGGGAGGGGAGATTGTGGCCATCACCTGTCCCTCCTCTTTAAGGGTATTCCGTTAAAGGGATCTGGGGGTGTGGATCTCATCCAAAGCCCGGGTAGGGGCTAGGGCCATCAGGGACCCTGGGGGAGCTCTCAGTTGAGGTACATCAACAGGGCTCCCCCTACTGGTAGTTGACCCTTACTGGACTACCTGCATGGTGGGCAGGAGTCCCAATATAGTCAGTTCAGTTCCAGTGCCTAAGCCAATACCACTCACATTTTGTAACCAATAAAGTTGTGGCCTTAATTAGCAGATTAACCCAAAATACTGGTGTCCATGTGTCTTATTCAACCACGTAGGGCATCATTTTAGTGGGTATCAGACTATAGTCCATCAGCAATTTCTAGATCAACTCTGTATCACCAAATGGAAACCAGAGTTGGAGGTCATACATTTTCTATTACTGGGGAATGATCAGGAGCTCACCAAGTTAGTGGTAAAATATCTCTATTTGGTTCTTTGTCGTCGAAATACACTGCAGACGTCTGATCTCCCTGGAGACCTAGAGATGTGACGATAGACTGCTCTGCCTCCTTTCTTTTAGCAAATGTAGCAAATGCCACTGGGGAAGTGGTAATTCTGAACTGATTTGTTTTGAATGTTTGTATGTGATGCCAATAAAAGGTTTGATGATGATGTGTCTTATTATCCATCAAATGGGGAGGGCTCGGGGCCTTGACAGGCAAGTATATATTCAGGAAGCACTTTTAAAAGCCAGTGAAAATAAGGAGGAAACAAACAGGAAGCTGGGAACTCTGCGTGGAATGGCTTCAGCTGCCATTGGCTCTGGCTCCACCTGCTGCTGGGCTCCCTGCCTCCATCTCTAACTGTCCCATTGGGACCAGGCACAGCTGCAGTTAAATGAATGAGTGAATGCAACATACAACTGGCCACGGACAAGAAAAGGCATGGTGTTGGAGATGTGACAAGCTGGGTCTCTTATCTGGCAGTCCCATTAACCATAACCACTCATAAACATTGATAGACCTTTTCTCCATGGTAGCTATAATAAGAAAGGAAGGACATTTATCCCCCAGTGGTGTGAGGTCATTAGACTAAGGGGACTAGGCTAGTCTCCTAAATTTTCCCCTGGTGATGTCTCCCCAAAGCCCAGAAAGCTTCTGCCTGGCTTAGGGAGGGAGGTATGATGCTCTGATGGGTCCAAGATCTGTCCTACCATCTTCCCAAAACCCATCCAGCTTTTGGAAGAAGGCAAGAGGGCTCCAGCATCTTGTCAGAGCCCAGGAAGCTCCTGACCGGCTTAGGGAGGGAAGCGTGATGCTCACGTGCACAACATCAGGACGTCACAATGTCACATGCATGACATCACCCCCCTCGCAACTGTCGCCTCTGGCCCTAACTGTTCCCCTATGAAAAAATTCACTGCATTCTATGGCCACCGCCGTAGCTGACACATTCTGGAAAGACTGGATTCCTGTATTTCTTCTGTGTTTCCCACATTTGATTCATGTAGGATTTTCCTTTTTTTTATTGGCACTGATTAAAGTGCAGTTTTTTTCCATGCATTTTAACCTGTGAATTAAATACATACAGGACACTAAATAATTGGCAAAGCCGCAGATGCGTGAATGTCAGGTGGACTTGATGACATTTGGGCTTATACTATGTTTAGCTGAAATAAATGAGAAGTTCTCAGTTCTGGGAAGAATTCCAGTCAAGCCTATTAATTCTACATAATTCTTTTTAAAAACTAGATAAGTGGACAGATACTACGAAGACCGTTCACCAAAAGGAACTTTTGACATGGATGCTGGAAGCTGCCAGGATCTCTATAGCACAACAAGGGAAATAGTTTAAAGATCTGACTACATCCTTATGTTCTAAAAACCTCTGGAATTTAGTTACTGCAGGGGGGGTGGAAAACACTTAAGTTACAGGTTTCCAAGAGACAGGAAGATTCTGATCATTTCTACACAGTAGGGCGAGTTTTCATTTCATGTACAGTGGAACCTCGGGTTGCGAATGTGATCCGTGCGGGAGGCACGTTCGCAACCCGCAGCGCTGCGTCTGCGCAAGCGCGTGACGTGATTCGGTACTTCCGGGTTCGGCGCAACCGTAACCTGAAAACACGCAACCCGCAGCAATCACAACCCGAGGTACGACTGTAGTTTAGATTCAGTTTTAGATTTAGATTTGCCATGATCTTAGAACTGGGTGTTATTATTTAATATGTTTAGGTTATTATTTATATGTCTTCATGGTTCTATAATAATTTGAAAACCACTAAAAATAATCTTAAAAATACCCTCGGTTGTAATGTTTAATATATCATTATGGAAGGCAGCATAAATTTCTGGGGTTTCCCCCTTCATAAAGAGCTAAGCCATTTGAAGGATGTATATAAAACCAATATTTCAGGCAGCATGCATAGTCAACTGCCAATATTTTGTTCCTCTAGCAAAGTTCTTCATAACGTTTCCCCACCCTTAGGCAGAACGAGATACTTGTCTTAATTAAACCCACATTACCATTCGATAGACACAAACATGACTGGTTTCCAGTTGATTAACTCTGCTTTGGGGATTATCCTGCTGCTCAAAATGGTTCTTGCCTTGGGGTAACACAGATGACTTCAGTCAGCCGCTGACTGAAGTACCAACTTGTACATTCATTGATTAACAAACAAACAAACAAATAACTATATCTTTTAATACTACTTCCACTTTTTTGTTCTTCATGTGACAAGTTATGGAAAAATAAAAATCTAGGGATTTATACAGATGTTGCATTCTTTTTTTAAGGTTGAGATGGTACTTCCTAAAGTTCTTTGTATTTAAGCATGCAAAGATTTAGGGATTAGGAATTTGTGGACCTTCAGATGCTCTTTGACTATACATCTCATCGTCGCTGACCATTTGTCACGTTGGCTAGCACTGGTAGAAGTTGGAGTTGAACAACATCTAGGGGGCCACAGGTTCCCCATCCCTGATTTTGTCTCCCATACAAATGTGACTGAAACTTTCAAAGCATGTCCTAAAGGATCCATTATATAGTCCTGACACACAGAGGACTTTCCCATTTGGCTTAAAAAATCTGTTAACCAGCATTTGATATAATTGCTCAAAATATTATTTCTCCATCAAGCTGACAAAAACACCCACTTCTGAGGGGGGAAAGTGAGGAACAGCATTTTCTGAATTCTGTTGTTTGTTTGGATGCATTTAACATAAAGGTAAAGGGACCCCTGACCATTAGGTCCAGTCGTGACCGACTCTGGGGTTGTGGCGCTCATCTCGCTTTATTGGCTGAGAGAGCCGGCATACAGCTTCTGGGTCATGTGGCCAGCATGACTAAACCGCTTCTGGTGAACCAGAGCAGGGCACGGAAACGCCGTTTACCTTCCCACCGGAGCGGTACCTATTTATCTACTTGCGCTTTGATGTGCTTTTGAACTGCTAGGTTGGCAGGAGCAGGGACCGAACAACGGGAGCTCACCCGGTTGCAGGGATTTGAACCGCCAACCTTCTGATTGGCAAGTCCTAAGCTCTGTGGTTTAACCCACAGCACCACCTGTGTTCCTTTTGTATTTAACATGTGCCATAAATTATATTTTCAAAATTACTCAGGTATTACATATTAGCTTTGAAGCCCATTAAAGAATGGCAAATTCACCATTATCTGAGGATTCAAGAAATGTTCCCTACCAAAATGTTCCCTGCGATTAAACTAAGACTGTCTATGTATGCACACACACACACACACACACACACACATGACCCATGGAATTCATTTTTATTTATTTCCAATATTTATAGACCAGTTTTCACCACAGATGGTCACAAAATGACTTACATGACAAACCCTTGTTGAGTTAGAGACTTCCCCTGCATGCGAAGACAGGCTTCAGGAGATGAGACCAATAGTGTTTCCAAACATCAAGAAGGCGGTTTCTGCATGTGCTGTAGAGGGAAATGATGGGCAGATGGGACTCATCAACCTGGGGAGGTAGTCCATCTAAAAGAAGGAAAACTCTGATTCTAAACTTCCACTGCCTTGTGGGATACCTTCGGGAGAAGAAAAGGCTAAGTAAACCCTACACAAATCCAGAGTGGAGTCCTTAACATGGTTAGGTAAAGGTAAAAGGTAAAGGACCCCTGGATGGTTAGGTCCAGTAAAGGCACCCCTTTTTCTAGAAAAATAGCACAGGATAGGGTAATAATAATCTCAAATGTTTACTGTGGGCGGATCTACACTCATGGTTTTTAAACTTAAGAAAGGGTTAAGAAATGGTTTGATAACATAGGGGGAAAAGGAAAGGACCCCTGGACAGTTACGTCCAGTCAAAGGCGACTCTGGGGTTGCGGCACTCATCTCGCTTTCAGGCTGAGGGAGCCGGCGTTTGTTTACAGACAGCTTTCCAGGTCATGGGGCCAGCAGGACTAAACCACTTCTGGCACAATGGGACACCGTGATGGAAACCAGAGGGCATGGAAACACCGTTTACCTTCCTGCCATAGTGGTACCTATTTATCTACTTGCACTGGCGTGCTTTTGAACTGCCAGGTTGGCAGGAGCTGGGACAGAACAACGGGAGCTCACCCCGTCGCGGGGATTCGAACCGCCGACCTTCCAATCAGCAAGCCCAAGAGGCTCAGTGGTTTAAACCACAGCCCCACCCACATCCCTAAGATGGTTAGATCATGGGTAGGCAAACTAAGGCCCAGGGGCCGGATCCAGCCCAATTGCCTTCTCAGTCTGGCCCACGGACGGTCCGGGAATCAGCGTGTTTTTACATGAGTAGAATGTGTCCTTTTATTTAAAATGCATCTCTGAGTTATTTGTGGGGCATAGGAATTCATTCATCCCCCCCCCCCAAAAAAAATAGTCCGCCCCCCAGGTCTGAGGGACAGTGGACCAGCCCCCTGCTGAAAATGTTTGCTGACCCCTGGGTTAGATGGTGCCTTGCACACCTCCTTCCAGGTAAGCAGGTGCCAAATGTATTGCTCTGCTTAGCTTTGGACCACATTAGTAAGGTCGAGATGGGGGTCTTGTCATCTGGGCAGCCCAGGACCCCCATATACACTGCCAAAGGTCACTTAGGTGCTACTAAGACATGGTTACATGGTTACACTTCACCCCTTGAGGCATACTCAGTTTTCTCTTGAGACATATGGATGACAACAACAAAGAGGGTCCATAGCTCGCATGCAGCATTCTGGCACACATTTTCAAAGGGAACAGCAGGCAGGCTCCTCTGCACATCCAAGTGGTCCCTTGGAGGAATAGCTTAGCTTCCCTCCCAAGTTGTTTAATGTAGTCCTTTATCCGAGGTGACACCAAAGAGTCAAATTTGAACAGAGAGAGTTCAGCTAATAATACCTAGACAAATTAAAGATGGATGTGGCGCTACATTCTGTATCCAACATGCATTTGGTCACTTCTTCCCTATCCAAATAGCACATTATTCAAAAGCATCATGTTGAGCATAATTGAAAAGCAATCCCAACATACTCATTTTTAAAAAGTGTAGTGGGAAAATACAAGTTAGGCTCTTGATAAATATTGAACGAGATAGACAGCAGACGCTAGAAACATTTGGGTCCCCCCCCCCCTTGCAGTGAAACCAGAAACCTTACATTTTTAAAAGAAAGTTGCCAGAAGTTAATCAGCATTGTGAGTAATAAGGGCTGACAGCTCCATCATTTTATAATTCTTCCTCTTGGTATTAGGAGAAATGTTCCTGCAGGAAGCAGATTTCAACACACATGCACAATGGATAGGAAACAACCTTGGAAACTTGTGAAGTATCTAAGCTTACAGCTATTGGAATCATTTTGTGGTGAGAGGGCAGCCATGTGGCAGCAGGGTAGTTATTTGTTTTTAATTTTCAGTTTTCCATGCGTGTTTGTCTATCCATATCCATTCTCTTCACTGCTAGATTTTAGCATACTGTGTCTGTCTGAGACAACATCCAATGACCTGCAGTCATAACAATATTGGAAGCAAATGAGTTAGCTGCAGAAGCCTGGAACGGGGGCCTCTCATTATTTTGCTCTGCTCCTGATTAACTTCAAGCAACATTGTTTTGTACTTGAACTCAGATGTGTTGCCTTGTGATGCCAGGCATTGTAAAAGCCTGTTTGCTTTCTGGTTGTAACCCGGAGGCTGAAGAAGCAAACGAGCCAAAGAAGTGCTGCTGGACTTATTTGGTGTGATTAGTTTTAGAAAGAGATGTTAATCATACAATGCACTCTATAATGCATACTGAGTTGCTCTGATATTGCATTCTTGTATTTGAAACACTAGCCCTATTCAATTGTCTGCCATGCACAGAAGCTACATGTAGAAAGCGGGGGGTGGGGGGCAGTGAGACCATGCTCCTAATTGTGCTGCTGACATCTTGTAGGGCACATGTATCTAGTTGGAGATCTCCATTGTTGGCAAAGGAGTATACAGTGGTACCTTGGTTCTCAAACTTAATCTATTCCGGAAGTCTGTTCCAAAACCAAAGCATTCCAAAACCAAGGCACACTTTCCCATAGAAAGTAATGCAAAACAGATTAATCCGTTCTAGACTTTTAAAAACAACCCCTAAAACAGTAATTTAACATGAATTTTACTATCTAGCAAGACCACTGATCCATAAAATGAAAGCAATAATCAACGTACTTTACTATAAAATAAATCAAACAGTATTGTAGATGATAAAAATAAAAATTAAAAAAAATTCTCACCTGTACTGATGATAGTCATTTTTTGGATGGGGGGGCTTTTATCCATTTCTGCAGTCACACAATCAATCAATCAATCAATCAATCAATCAATCAGTAGCTGAACTGGGATCCACACAGTCACAAAAACAAATTAACTGAAAAAGTCTCAAAACAAAAAATGCAAAATAAATAGCAAAAACAAAAGCACCAAATATAAGCTCCAAATATCACCTCAGAACACTGCAATCGGAAGTGGAAGGCTTGAATTACAACCAGGGGGTGGAGGTGGGACGCAAAATAGCAGCACAACAGAAAACACAGGGGGACGCAAATTAGCAGCGCAACAGGGAACACAGGGGGATGCAAAACGGAGCACGTTTGGCTTCCAAAATAAAGTTCAAAAACCGGAACACCTACTTCTGGTTTTGCAGTGTTCGGGTTCCAAGTTGTTCGTGAACTAAGCTGTTTGAAAACTGAGGTACCACTGTATTGGGGAGAGGAACAGCAGGCCCAGAGGCTGAAGTGCCTCCCAAGCCACTGTCCCTGGGCCACACACTGTTGGATCACACATCCTATGCAACCATAACCTCTCTGCTGCTGGTCAATGAAGTCTTGCCATATCTTCCTCCTTATTCGTCTGTGACTCCTGGATTCATAAAATAAAACCACAGAACAGCAGCACATGTTCAAACAACTCTGTCAAAATCCAGCACTGTATTATACATTGCCAGATTCAACATAATCGTATCCTTGTTGCCAAAGTAATCATTCTCTGAATGCCCAGCAGAATGAGGTTGGAAACTTTATGATTGAAGGCAGGGTCTCTTCTCATATTTTTGCCTGGAAATAACTCAGAAATGCAAATAAACAGGATGGAAACAGAGTGAAGGAATCTAAAGTATCTGCTTTGTCCCGATGGGCCATGTCAAAGTAACCAGGCAGTTCAAAATAAGGAGACATTCCCAAATATGTAGGTGCCCACAACAGATGCTCCCCAAAACTTAACACAAATATTGTTAAATAAATAAATGAAATGAATAATATGTGCAATTATGTTCTCCAATATTTTAAACAGTTCTGCAGTCCATGGCCAAAACAGTGGTACCTCGGGTTACTTTGTTCCAGAGGTCCGTACTTAACCTGAAACTGTTCTTAACCTGAAGCACCACTTTAGCTAATGGGGCCTCCTGCTTCTGCCACACCGCCAGAGCACAATTTCTGTTCTCATCCTGAAGCAAAGTTCTTAACCCGAGGTACTACTTCTGGGTTAGCAGAGTCTGTAACCTGAAGCATATGTAACCCGAGGTAGCACTGTACAATGTCCTTTATAGTTCATCTCATTGTCCTTACAGCAAACCTGTGAATAAGTAGGTCAACTTTTCTTCCTGTTTGCTGAAGTGACTTGCCCAAAGTCAACAACTATTAATGCCCAGGGCAGAGCAAAAAAGTGAATCTTTATTGGCTAGATTGTCCAAGGATTCTACATAATGTAGATCCAAATTGCCTAGATGCAAAACCATTATATTTTAAGACAATTTTGATGGACTATAAAAGATGACACACACACAAAACTTAATGGACTTCTGGGCACGTTGCTGGTGCCCTGAATTATTTGGTAAGAGGCAACGTGCTGCTTGGAATCCATTGTTAATATGGTGGCACAACACCAGAGTTCCCATACGTCCTCTTGAAGTCATAGTAATTCATCACAGCAGAACTAATATCAGCCAGGTATCCAAATTGGGAAAGAAAATTGATGTTAGAGGGAATATTGCCCTCCAAAACACAGCTGTTTCTCAGCTGGAGCATGAACTTTGGCATTCAGCCCCAAGGCTAGTTAGAGGGGAGAAGATCTGGAAAAAGGCAACGAGAGAAACAGGAGAACTTTGGAATTGCAGGTACCCTGGACTTAAAGATGTTTTTGGATTTTCTTTGCATTGCTAAAAAGTGGGGGGATTATTGCACTAGATGGATCCGGGCTAGTCTGCCTGATTTCAGAAGCCAAGCAATTCTGCTATTGACCCTAAGCATCTCAAAGTTGTTCAAAGTAGCACAGTGAATCTTCCCATTGAAAATGTCCTCTAAAACAAGGTTCACACATGCAAGGCACAGACTTGTAGCAGCAGAAGTGAAGCCTTGATATGGTGCCTCCATCACCATACTACCTCCAACCTTTGCATGTTGAGTACAGATATCCGAAAAAATGAACCCTTTGTGTGCTAGCAGCTTCTCATATACACAAGCTCCACTCGACCCGAAAACCTCTACCAGGTTCCCAAGGACTTCACATCACATTATCTTAAATGTGTAGTATGTATTATCATCATCATCAATAATGATAATGATAATAATGATACAGAGGGGTTATTTGGGGGGGGGAGTCACCCATGCAGCTATAATCTGGAACAGGCATAGGCAAACTCAGCCCTCCAGATGTTTTAGGACTACAACTCCCATCATCCCTGACCACTGGTCCTGCTAGCTAGGGATGATGGGAGTTGTAGTCCCAAAACATCTGGAGGTCCGAGTTTGCCTATGCCTGATCTGGAACCTGCTACCAATCTGATTTCAACCCCCTGCACACAATCACTTCCAGATGATTCCACCCTTCCCCAAAGGATGCTATTTGCAATAAATGAAGTATTTGGGGGCAAATCACAATGGTGGATTTTAAGCAGGAAACTGGCACTGGACCTTGATCTGGATTGGGAGCATCCTCCAAACCTGGGGCTGCTTTTTCATCAAAGTATTGATGGTCTGTCTAAGCACACTTAAAAACAAAACAACAAACCAGGAGTGACAGAACATGTAGATTGGCCTTTAGAATCATGCTTTAAAGGCTAGACATCAACAATTTTAAGAGGCTGAACAGTGAACATTAGGAGGGTTGGGAGAAGGGATCCCATCCTTTATCGTTGTTCTCAACCATCCAATATTCATTCGAACCTCTAGAAATACGATTTGTATGTACAGAAGCAAATCTGTACTCTGCACTTGTAGGCTTTAGCAGTAGGGACAGGCCTACACATTCCCTGCCATTTGAATAACTCTATGAAGATTGATGGACAGCAGAATTCAAGCATGCCATTTTTTATTGAGTAGAAAATGTTTGGGTTTGGGGCTGACTGTAGCACATTCAGCATTAGCAGCTGCTCTTAGTGCTTTGTAGGACTACATAAGACTACTTCCTTAAATGGCTATTTTGTCATTGACATAATTGCATTGACTGGGAGATGTAAATTTTAGAAAAATTACTTTGAATATCTGCATAAGTGATGGATCTTCCTTCGCAAACCTATATGGGACTCTAATCAATCAATATTGGTTGATAAGAATTAGCTGGTGTTAACCTCAACCACGCTACCTTAAAGGTGGTGTATGATAGTCAGAGTTTTGTGAAAAGTGAAGATAGGAGAGTTTAATGGAAATATGCATTCATGCAATAAATGAAGATGTTAGGAAAACCTAGCTTCCGCTGAAGTTATTATTCACCTCAGTGGTTTCCTCATCTCAGATCAATGGAGACACCCTCTGACTGAACAGCATTTAAGCATTATAGATAAAATACATGTATAAGATTTCACAAAATATCCATGACCAACCTATTCACTTCCTATCATTCTCCAGAGGGGCCTCCTCAGTCACCTAACACAGTATAAGAAACAGCCAGGCATTTCTAAAAGGTCAGTGGATTCATTGAGGTGGGAGCATCATCCGAGGCCCTGAGAGCCGTTGTCAAAGATACACAGATACTGCCTTTCACTCAATGCATGGATGCCTATGTTTTCAAATGGGAACAGTTTATCTTCCAAATTGCATTTAATGGTCTTAACTCCAGAGTAGATAACAATAATTCGGAGGATTTATCTGGATTATCTGACTGACCTTTTCCTCTCATTGCTGTGTAAGACTTGCTTTCGCCACCGTGTCAAAGTCCTTGCTACAGAAGTCCTGCAGCTGTGTTGCTAATGTGATATTTCTCATATAGGTTCTGCCTTCTCTGTGCCCCTCGGAGCCTGGAATGTCCATATTCATCAGTGTGTTCCAATGAGGAGCTGGTGTTACATGGTTAGCTACGCAGAAATATTGTCCTCTGGTACCAACTGGACGATAGTTACATAACTCCAGGGAGTTGGCTCAACAAAATTACGAAGTGAGACTTTAATCAGTGTTCCCAGTTGGCTGCATTACTTCACCCAAACAAGCCTTGTTTCTCATACTCTGAGCAACTACCTGGGAGAATTGGCTACATCGCAGAGTCTGCAGGCATTCATTCAAGATGGAAGGAATGTAGCAGCACTACTGAACAAATTGCAAACTGTTTAGCAACCTGGCATGGAAACCTGATGGCTTTCTAAAACCGAACATTTTCCTAGTCTAAGAGACAAGCCATTACCATCCACAATGAAAACAATATCTTTAAAAGACTTTGTGAAATGCTCTGGAAAATGTATCAGTGCGAGTCCCAAAAGAGCTTTGTGTGGTCAAATGGATGGAGAGGAAATGTTTTAATTGTTCATATAAATACATATATAACGAGCAGACATTAATGGCTTAGGAGAAGCCATGAAACGTTCTGAAAGTTAATTATCTGAAGAGTGTGGTTACAGAAGAGCTCTGAAGTGCCTTTTAAAATGGCAATCTTGTGTCTGGCAGATTATGGCCCAGCTGCCCTCGTTCCATAAAACCCCTTTTCTACCCCTGCTGTCAAGGGCTTTCAACGAAACTCCATTTTCAATGAAGAAGCAATATTCTGCTAATGAGTTTCTTCTGATATTGCCTACTGTGTATATGTCATGTGGTGGGATGATGGATGATTAAAAAAAGAAATAGGTGTGTGCTGATAACTGCCTACATTCAAATAAGGTTGCAGACAGGCTGATTGAAAACAAGGGCTGTGGACTGGATTGAGTTGAAGCCTGAACCAAATAGGGACTTGAGCATTGGATGAGTTGGGTTCAGACAGACACAGATCGCTATGGATTGGGTTGGATTGCCCAGAGCCATTTGCGGCTGTCGGGGTGAAGCATCAGGCAGGAAGGAGAGGCAGGCAAGGCAGGAAAACCTTCCTTTCCAGTCCCTCCCTGGTCTCAGGATCTCTTCCTATTGAGAGGAGGGGGAGATCATGTGGATGGAGGCATCTTAGGATGCCCCCAAATGTAGTGGGTCCTTTCCTGTCCATCTCTTAGTTATCTGTTTGGTTAAGGCTATCCAATCATAAGTGGGAAGATGCAATTCTGCATAGCATGTGGGTGGTGTTGTGGTCTAAACCACCGAAGCTCTTGTGCTTTTCAATCAGAAGGCCAGCGGTTCAAATCCCTGCAACGGGGTGAGCTTCCAGCTCCTGCCAACCTAGCAGTTCGAAAGCACACCAGTGCAAGTAGTTAAATAGGTATGGCTGCAGCAGGAAGGTAAATGGTGTTTCCGTGCGCTCTGGTTTCCGTCATAGTGTTCTGTTGCACCAGAAACAGTTTAGTTATGTTGGCCACATGACCTGGAAAAGCTGTCTGTGGACAAACGCTGGCTCCCTTGGCCTGAAAGCGAGATGAGCGCTGCAACCCCATAGTTGCCTTTGCCTGGACTTTAACGTCCAAGGGTCCTTAACCTTTATCTCACCTAGTGCCAGTCACCACTCCTTTATGAGCAGCTTTTGGGTACCCTGCAGGAGGAAATCCCACCCCACCCTCTGCTTACCAACTGGAAAGCAGGAGGATCTGATCCTTCATGAATAGTTTCCATGCATACCGAGAAGACACTTGTGAAGGAGCAGTACCCTACAGGATCGAACCTGCCTACTGTAGGTTAGAAGAGGTGGAAGAGAAACAGCCTCTCCCCTTTCCCTCACCTCCTCCTGACCATATGTTAAAATACTCCTGCCCCCAAATTGCTTGGAACTGGGTGGGGCAGGTTGTTCCCATGGTGGCACAGGTGAATTTGCCCGATTCAGAGGCCACAGGTTGGGGCCACAGGGTGGATCACAAGACTTTCCACAGCCCTGGTTTATATGTATTTTGGTGGGTTTTGGTTACATGCCTTCATCTTTCTTCAGTGCCCATTGACAGGAATACAAACTGCAAGGAGCGTGAGCCTATCAGAAGCTGCTTCTACCATGCAGCCACCTAATATATCAGTGTGGAACCATGGTTTGAAGCTCTGGACACAACAGCCATGCAGAATTTAACAGTGCATATAAGAAGGCGCATGATAGAAGCTGCAGTCCCTGTATTTTCATTTGAAGGTCAAAATAGAATCATTGTGCATGCAGCTGGAGACCTCTGCTTTGGGCTGCCTTCCCCAGGCTTTTACATGTTCTTTCACATATGCCTTTCTGAATTGTAAAGATCCCTTTGATGCTGGAATCCTCTAAATAAAATCTGCCTACAGGGATGAGAAAATGAAATAAGTCAAAGAGAAGAGGCACATTTTCATATTTACCTTGTTATACTGTACTTGCTTCCACAAGTTGCTATGATGTAATCCGAAAAAGAAGGGGAACCAATTATCCGTAAGGAGCCTGCAGCGTGCTGAGTCAGCGCCTCTCTTTGATCTTATCATAATGGCAGATGCCGAGGGAAGAGGTGCAAATTGGTATCGTTTTGAGATGTGAACATTTCAACAATTTGCCTCTGTTGCTTCAGAAGCCTTTACCCCAACTTGTTGCTAGGATGCTCTGCAAAGGTGATGAGTTTTCAAATGGAATGTACTTAAAAGTTTCTCATTTGCTATTATGAAAGCTTCTCTTTTGTGTTTCTTAGAACCGCAGGAGCAGTTAATTTCTCGTGGCTTGAAGCAAGGATTCACAACTGCTGGTAATCGCTATTATGGAAGGATGTACAGGGAAAGCTTGTTTTGACTGTTAGTGATCAATGCTTGGTGAAAATAAAAAAATAATCACTTGAGTCAAAGGTCTGTTGAACTGCACGATGATGCCACCTGCCTTAAAGGGGAAAGAAGACCTGTGAGATTGGATTGTACAGGCACAGTTGTAAATTGCACTGATTTCAATCCTGTATATATAAATCAGGGCCAGCCCACACATGAGGTAGGTTGAAGCAGCTGCTTTGGGCAGCAGAATCCTTTGGAGCAGAGAGATCTCACTGGAAACCATGCCGCAACCCCAATAAGTGAGGCTTTGGGGGGTACTTTCTGCATCAGCGCAGCCTGTGAAGCAGGCCAGGTCAGCCCCGATTCTAATGGGCATATAGATCCCTGAAACCTGTGGTACTTGTTTATGTATAATTGCGCACCAGGTAGTAGTCCAGGTATGCTTTCTAGGCAAGAGAATTTCAGTGCTAGAAAGATAGCTAAGGGAGATGACTCACACAATAATCAGGCCTTGATTCTTATCAAGGTATGATTGCAGATGCCATGGACATCCAGTTGGCCACTGTGAGAACAGTAGGCTAGACAAGATGTCCACTGGCCTTATTCAGCAGGCTTTCCTTATGTTCATATGGGGTCTCTATAGGATGTCCAGATTCAAAAACACACAGAAAAGCTCAAGATACATGTTGATCTACCCACACTTTGTCGTTATCTCTGAGAAACGTTGAAAATAACAGGATGTATTTATACGAATTCTTCAAACTTACACGACCCCTTAAAAATTAGCTGATGAAGGTGAATACATCGAAACAAGGCCCTGTCCTGGTTTCTGATCCATAATTGACTTCTGACTTCTGCTCAATGATTGAAACTAAGATCTTACTATGGACTAACATGAACATCTCTACTCATAAACTCTTATTTTTAATACTGTAACGAATTATTGTATTATACATATCCTTATGAGTTTGAGTTTGTAATCTCTGTTTGAGTTTGTAATCTCTATTTGAGTTTGTAATCCTTGTCAGAATATATACTTTTGGATGGATCAGTTTTTGTTACAATTGACTATTGATTTGCGAATAGGGACCACTCCCACTTTTGAAACGTATGTTGGCCAGAGTTCTTGGTGTGCTCTTTTCTCTTGGCAGATTGCAAAAGGGACAGGGTTCAAGGACCTTGACTAGTTGTGTAGAAAATGGCATTGGCACCTGGCCACAATAGCAGATGCTGAAATTCCCAACAATAAGTTAAACGTGTTGGAACACAAACCCGGGCCCTAGGAGCACATATGCCCACCCGCACTTGAAGGGCATAACATGGTCCAGCATTCACCATTTCCTCTATTTTTGATGTTCAGGCCCAAGAATGAGGCATGGGAGAATCCCAAGGTATGCAGAAGTACATTTTTTTTAAAAAAAGAAAAGATGGGGGGGCTAGGTGTAGTCCTAAAGCACTGCTATTAGGTCTGGGCACACTCAGTGTCCATGAAATGTTGACTGACTGCTAGGGAGGGGGATTGGAAAACTGTATCACATGGGAAACAGAACGGCATATCTCGAAGGAGGTCAGTATCCAATTCTATGCATTTTGTATGCATTTAGTTCTCACTTTTTACATAAGCTGTGCAATTATAACTTAAAATACACTTTTTAATGAATTTACCAGTAAAATACGCATTTTGTGTGTGAACGTTTTGTTCAATGAAGATGCATTACAAAATCCAGAGAAATGCACAATAAAACTAGGAATTACATTTCAATCTGCAAGCAAGGAAGTTGAGGAATACCAGAGAAGACTGCTCCACAACGCCAGCAGCAGCAGCAACAACAACTAATGATGATGATGATGATGATAATAATAATAATAATAATAATAATGAAATAAATTCCTACTCCATCCCGCTTCCTGCAGTGATGGCCAAGTTGCTGGTGTGCTCCCATTTCCACCTTCTTTTGTCTCCATCCCTCCACGTTCCCTGCAGGAAGTGATCCATCTCAGCAAACACAATGATATGTGTTCCAACCTTCCTCTGATCCCCCCCCCCCAATAATATTTATTATTTTTCATACATAAACATAGCGAAAAAAGAAAAAGTTGACAATAATAAAGGAAAAAGAATGAAACAGAGAAAAAAGAAAAAGAAAAAAGAATAATTAAAATCCATCTTCATAAACATATTATTTTGCTTCCTCAAATCTCTTCCATCTGAATTTCTTAGTAATTATATATAGCAGTTTCTAATATCATTATTTCATAAACCCTATCACAGTCATAATCATATTTCCTTACTTTTATTTTTGTAAATTTTCTTATTTATATATTTAATCCCAATTTAATCCTACGCCTAATTGATTCTTTCAAGTGATTACATATCTTTAATATTACAATATTTATTCAAATAGTCTTTGAATTTCTTCCAATCTTCTTGGTGTTCCTCTTCTTTCTGGTCACAGATTCTCCCGGTGAGATCAGCCAGCTCCATAAACTCCATCATCTTCCTCTGATCCCACTTTTGGCTATGTCTCCACTATGTCTCTTCCCTCTTCATTCTGCAGCAATGTGGGGCACAACCAACTAGTTGCTCTGATGATATCTTAGGCGCACAGCTGGTGAACTGTACCTGTTGTGTTTGGAGAAGGTGGGGAAGAAGGTGGGGAAGAAACCTGTGCCAGCGGAATTGGATCTGTGCTGGCTACATCACATATGCAAGTCACCATTTGATTCTTCACTTATTGAGGGATGGTCATACAGGCAGAAACAACCCTGCTGAGGTTCACTAAGAGTCATAGCTGAATCCTAAGGGACTATTTAGCAGCGGAAGCAGCATAAACAGAGATTAGCAAGGCTGCTGTGAAGGCTGCAGCCTAAGCATGACAAGTGGGGCAGAGCCACTCAGTTATTTGCCATTGGCTCTGTTAAACCACAGAGCCTAGGACTTGCCGATCAGAAGGTTGGCAATTCGAATCCCCACGTCGGAGTGAGCTCCCATTGCTCAGTCCCTGCTCCTGCCAACCTAGCAGTTCGAAAGCATGTCAAAGTGCAAGTAGATAAATAGTTATCGCTCCGGCGGGAAGGTAAACGGTGTTTCCATGCGCTTCTCTGATTCGCCAGAAGTGGCTTAGTCATGCTGGCCACATGATCCGGAAGCTGTACGCCGGATCCCTCAGCCAATAAAGCGAGATGAGTGCCGCAACCCCAGAGTCGGTCACGACTGGACCTAATGGTCAGGGGTCCCTTTACCTTTAATGAAACCATCTGAGAGGTTTTGAACAGCTTCCGGCTACTAGAACAAGTGCTGCCAGCTGGTGCGAAGGGGAACATGCACAGGAAGGGTTTGCAGGCTGTGTTTGCCTATGCAAATTCCCCTTTCAGACATTGCAGGCAAGCAAAGCCAGCCAACTGCAAGAGACAATGTCTAGGTATCTGACAGTGTTTGTTTGCCTTGGTTCCTGCTGCAAAATTGTCACAATAAGCTATTTCACAGTTCTGTCTCTTACCTGCTTCTGAGTTAGTTGGTTAGTTAGTTAGTTAGTTAGTTAGTTAGTTAGTGGGTCACCAGTAACCATGGTATTTCATGGGTTCATAGGATCCAGATGTGTGACCCTGGCATTAATCAACTTATCTAAATTATTTAGCTGAGGTAAGCTGTAGTTCAGCAACATCTGGAGGGTACCTTGCATATACTCTCTGCTACATTCCTGCATTGCAGGGAGTTGGACTAGATGACTCTTCCAACTCTACAATTCTATGATTCTATGTAGGTGCTTCCGATATAATAGCGAACAAATACACACATATGTACTTTTGATGCATAATGTGTAAAATAGCCATATATACAATAGATTCTAGTCTTCTTGCAGTATGTTGTGGCTTCCAGATAGTAACTTTCTTGGCATGCAAGTTCAATCAAATTTGACATCTGCCAGCTCTATAGGGAATAGGTTTAATTCCCATGCTGATTATGACTACTACTACTAATAATTTATTTATACCCCGCCCATCTGGCTGGGCTTCCCCAGCCACTCTGGGCAGCTTCCGACAAAATATTAAAATACAGTAATGTATCAAACATTAAAAGCTTCCCTAAACAGAGCTGCCTTCAGATGTCTTCTAAAAGTCAGATAGTTGTTGTTCTCTTTGACATCTGGTGGGAGGGCGTTCCACAGGGCGGGTGACACTACCGAGAAGGCCATCTGCCTGGTTTCCTGTAGCTTTGCTTCTCGCAGTGAGGGAACCGCCAGAAGGCCCTCGGCATTGGAACTCAGTGTCCGAGCAGAACGATGGGGGTGGAGATGCTCCTTCAGATATACTGGACCAAGGCCATTTAGGGCTTTAAAGGTCAGCACCAACACTTTGAATTGTGCTCGGAAACGTACTGGGAGCCAATGTAGGTCTTTCAAGACCGGTGTTACCGGTATGTGGTCTCGGCAGCCGCTCCCATTCACCAGTCTAGCTGCTGCATTCTGGATTAGTTGTAGTTTCTGGGTCACCTTCAAAGGTAGCCCCACATAGACCGCATTGCAGTAGTCCAAATGAGAGATAACCAGAGCATGCACCACTCTGGTGAGGCAGTCCATGGGCAGATAGGGTCTCAGCCTGCGTACCAGATGGAGCTGGTAAACAGCTGCCCTGGACACAGAATTGACCTGCACCTCCATGGACAGCTGCGAGTCCAAAATGACTCCCAGCCTTCGCACCTGGCCCTTCAGGGGCACAGTTACCCCATTCAGGACCAGGGAATCCTCCATATCCACCTGCCTCCTGTCCCCCCAAAACAGTACTTCTGTCTTGTCAGGATTCAGCCTCAATTTGTTAGCTGCCATCCATCCTCCAACTGCCTCCAGATACTCACACAGGACCTCCATTACCTAACTTTGGTGCAAAACCATCAAGCTAACTGGCCTATCTTTCATTTCCTTCAATTTCAGGCTTTAGCATTGCATAAGCTAGCCATGGGGGGGAACTGCCATCCGGGCAAGCTCTAAATGGTTTGGATTTAGTGTGATGTAGGACAAATGCAATAGCTTAGTTAATACCCAAGGCTCGGTTTGCTTTATAATGACAACATCTTATAATGCACGTTGGCAAAATATTCTGTTTGTCCATTCCATTGGAACACAACTTTAGTTAACCTGTTTCCCCCTCCCTAACATTACAGATAATTCCCTGGTTGCTACAGTTCCATCTCCTCAAACAGACATCAGTCACACCCCTGAAAGTGAACTGAAATTCCTTTTAATAATCTGATGGCAGTAAAATAACTCCAGAAGATTAACCAAATGGCTTTATTAAACAACTGCTGTTGGGTGAAAATGTGCTCAATGATCCACTAATCCCCAACTGCTTTAGAGAATGTTCACGTCCCAGAGTTCCTAGTATGAAGACAGTTTTCCAGCACATCTTAAAATATCTGAAATGTTGCCACAGATGTAAGAAAGGTACTGCTGAGGTATATTACAGCTTGCAGTTTAAATTAGTTCCACATTAGACAGAATTAACTTAATCACAAATCCCTTGAACTGTTTGATATGTGGACCACTTTAAAACCATATCGCTTGCATGTTTTAGCAAATCCATATGCAACAACTTTACGAGTCCCCTCATAAACCACTTCGTTTTACAGGCTGAAATTCCGTGCACACTTAAAAGGGGAGCAAGTCCCATTGAACAAAAATCTTACTTATGACTGCAGAGGCGTAACTGTGTTTGTGGTACCTTTTATGGCACAATCTTTGTTTGGGGGGCAGTGTTTTTGTCTTTTGAGGAGCCACGTGATATCATCACTGTATTGATTTTATACTGCTGTAACAAGACCATCTGAAAGAGCTCTGTATATGTTTATATAACTCTGTTAAATATGGGGGGATGCTAAGACGAACTGAGGATGTTATTAAATACGTGGAGAGACTCAAAATGCCCAGGAAAGAACTGTTAAAAAGGTTAGGCAGGAAGAAGCAAATGGAAATATGCTAACAAAGGGGAAGTAGAGTACAGTAGGACATAGAGGGTGAAAAAGTGATCCGTAGGATGGGGGGCAGCAGAATGGTGAAGTGCTCATTACTAGAATGCACAGTGGGAGATGGGACTTTTCACTGCACTTCGTGAATCCAAGATGCTAGGCTTCTGTGACAGAATGGCAATTTCATTCTGTGTGGTCCTGAAATTGTACTTCATTGGTCCCAAACAGCTTCAGGGTGAAAGTATCCTTGCAATCTTTTATGCAATCGCTCGGATGCCCTGTGTCCTACTTTACAGAAGACAGTACTCTATTTGACTGAATCCTCTGTTTGGAAGGCTGTCTACTCCAAGTCCAATTTAAAGATAAAGAACCATAAGAAGGGAGATCAAGGGCCTTGAAGCTGTGCATCAGCAGAGGATGGAGCTGGGACCCTGGTGAGCAGATCACATTTGCCCTACTAGGATGAGCTATATTGTATTTCTGCTTGCAATAAGTGTTTCTAAATTTGCAGCTCTCCATACAAATTAGCGCATGCAAATTTTATGCAAATCACTGGCGTCTTTTGGTGATATATCTCTTCTTTCCCGGCAATGCATTTAAAAAACAACCCACTTTCTTTATTTTCATGACAATTTGAAGCATGATCTTTTCCCTTTAGTAAATGACTCTGCATACAGAGAATAGATCCAGACCTATTCTATTCAGATAGAAGCACCTGACTCACATGCACAATGACTCAGAGCTAGTGATATTCCCAGTCATTCCCCAGCAAAATGAGAACCAGAAGCAGCTCACTGAGTAGAATAGAGCAGCTTTGCTTGCTTCCCAGCAGGTGAGTCACTGGTTACCAGGAGGGGTGATGTGTCCTGGCTCCCACTCCCAGACACTGTACTTGGACTCTATAGGAATACAGGAAGCTGCCTTCTACTGACTCAAACCATTGGTTTATTTCATTCTAAGGGATGCAGGTGGAGCTGTGGTATAAACCACTGAGCCTCTTGGGCTTGACGATAAGAAGGTCAGCGGTTCGAATCCACTCGACGGAGTGAGCTCCCCTTGCTCTATCTCAGCTCCTGCCAACCTAGCAGTTCGAAAGCACACCAGTGCAAGTTGATAAATAGGTAACGCTGCGGTGGGAAGGGAAATAGTGTTTCTGTGTGCTCTGGTTTCCATCACAGTGTCCCATTGTGCCAGAAGTGGTTTAGTCATGCTGGCCACATGACCCGGAAACCTGTCTGTGGACAAACGCCAGCTCCCTTGGCCTGAAAGCAAGATGAGCACCGCAACCCCATAGTTGCCTTTGACTGGACTTAACCATCCAGGGGTCCTTTACCTTTTTACCTTTACAGTGGTACCTCGGGTTAAGAACTTAATTCATTCTGGAGGTCCGTTCTTAACCTGAAACTGTTATTAACCTGAGGTACCACTTTAGCTAATGGGGCCTCGCGCTGCTGAGGTACTATTTCTGGGTTAGCAGAGTCTGTAACCTGAAGCGTCTGTAACCTGAAGCGTCTGTAACCAGAGGTACCACTGTATCTTGTTCTGCTGGAGGAAACTAGAAAGCTTTATTCAATAAGTCAACAGATGGGCTCAGCATTTAGGTACAGGTTATAAGATTCATAAGTCTACAAGTAGGTCTCTTAAGACATATGACTTACCATGAGCTAAGATGTTGTTCTATCACCCAACATGCCCCTCTCCTACTTTCCTTTCGAAGAATGAGGGTGCCCCAAGTGGGTAGGTCAGATCTCCCCCACCTCCTACCATGGATCCTTCTCTGACAGATCCTCCCAGTCCTGCCATACTTAATATTGTACAAAAGCAAAGCCAGAAACATAAAATGTTCAGTTTCAACAAATACACTGCAAGGGATCATGAGTAATGAACACTGCAACCTATCAAGGGACAATTGAGAAGACAGCTGAAATGCTTTAACCATATGTCAGTAACTATGTCTCTTTCCCTAAACCTTTAAGAGTTGTTTGCCGTTTGAGCAATAATTCAGAACTCATTGCTCTCGCAAACCACTTACTTTAAGGAAGTCCCACTGAGCGGGATAGAAGGTCTCTGATTGATGCTTTGTAAACTGCAAACTTGGAAATTTGTACCGTTCTGTTTCACGTTTTAAGACATCTTCCACATATTTGTGGAATTTTTCATTTTCCTTTATTGTACCCCAAAAGCATATTTTCAGGATCCAATTACAGTTTCAAAAAGTAAAAGTTACCTTTGAAGAAGATGAGATTAAGAAGTGAGAGCAGTTTCTGAAGTCTAATAGATTGCAGCAGCAGGCTTCAGTACCAAGGGAAATAGTAGCTGAAGGCTACTACTTACAGTTCACCATGCAAATCCCCTTTGGGAGTAGCTTAGCAGCTTGATAACATTTTAAGAGTCTATAGCTGTTGGTTTCTTTAAATCATAATAATGCTTTTCAAGCTAAATACATTTAGTAAGTTCAACACAGTGTCACAAACGTCTGTCATTCGTTTTAATGCCTCTCTTATGTTCTATTGAGTTTCCAGCAACTTTGTTTAGCCTCTGAGGAGAAATGTGGAAAGTCATTTGACAATATCCCCCAATTATTTTATCCAATAGGGTTTCAAGGTGGATCCGCACAACCTGTATTTCAATCACAATCTATCCTGATTGTTTGCTTCAAGTCAGCTGTCATAGATAGGGTAAATTTGCACTGTGGTGTTGCCTGTGATGAAGGAAACCTGAGGCCACAATGGTGGAAGGGAAACCGGGCGGTGACCTTTAATCTTCTGTTGGTTTCATTCAGCTAATCCTCCAGCCACACTCCTTTGGCACAAAAGGGACTGAGTAAAAATATTCAGTGAAAGCAGAAGCAGAGAAATGGTTGTGGTTGTTCTTTGTTCAAGCACCTTCCCTCAAAACATGTACAGACCCTCCAAGAGCCCCCTATATGCCAGGGACAGTCCCAGATTTTGTTGTTGTTTAGTCATTTAGTCGTGTCTGACTCTTCGTGACCCTATGGACCAGAGCACGCCAGGCACTCTTGTCTTCCACTGCCTCCCGCAGTTTGGTCAAACTCATGCTGGTAGCTTCGAGAACACTGTCCAACCATCTCGTCCTCTGTCGTCCCCTTCTCTTTGTGCCCTCAATCTTTCCCAAAATCAGGGTCTTTTCCAGGGAGTCTTCTCTTCTCATGAGGTGGCCAAAGTATTGAAGCCCCAGCTTCAGTATCTGTCCTTCCAGTGAGCACTCAGGCTGATTTCCTTAAGAATGGATACGTTTGATCTTCTTGTAGTCCATCGGACTCTCAAGAGTCTCCTCCAGCACCATAATTCAAAAGCATCAATTCTTCGGCGATCCCAGATTTACAGATGCTGAAATGTCCTACTTTTCCATAGGACATCCCTACTTTCATCGGAGAAATGTTGGAGGGTATGAAGTTATCCCCCAAGCCAAGGAGATAAGTAACTCTAGAAGACATCTGAAGGCATTTAGAAGACATCTGAAGGCAGCACTGCGTAGGGAAGTTTTTTAATGTTTAGAGTTTTATTATGAGTTTATATATGTTGGAAGCCATTCAGAGTGGCTGGGGCAACCCAATCAGATGGGCAGGGTATAAATAAATTATTATTATTATTATTATTATTATTATTATCCCCTTCCAGAATCTTTTGTTTTTGTATAATATTAGTATTAATTTTCACAAAAACATTACTTTTAATGGGGGAAGCATAAAATAAAACATTTAAAACAACTATATATACAGTCCATATTGAATCCACAGTATGGGATTCTTTGAATCCCCTGACTCCCCCCCCCTTGGTTTCTTTATAATATTTTCATTCACGCATGTCAATAAAATCTTTATCTCTGATTACTTCCAATTTTTGTACTACAAACTATTATTATTATTATTATTATTATTATTATTATTACAGTGGTACCTTGGTTCTCAAACTTAATCCGTTCCGGAAGTCCGTTCTGAAACCAAGGCACACTTTCCCATAAAAAGTAATGCAAAATGGATTAATCCGTTCCAGACTTTTAAAAGCAACACCTAAAACAGCAGTTTAACATGAATTTTGCTATCTAACGACACCATTGATCTATAAAATGAAAGCGATGAACAATGTACTGCAGTCACACAATCAATCAATCAATCAATCAGTAGCTGAACTGGGTTCCACACAGTCACAAAAACAAAACAAAAAGAGCCGCAAAAACAGAAACGCAAAATATCATAAATAGCAAAAACAGACCTCAAAACGGAAGTGTGGCACTCAAAACGGAAACGTAACACTCAAACAGAGCACGTTCAGCTTCTGAAAAAAGTTCGCAAACTGGAACACTTATTTCTGGGTTTGCAGTGTTTGGGTTGCAAGTTGTTTGAGTACCAAGGCGTTTGAGAACCAAGGTACGACTATATACAACCCATATTGAATCCACAGTATGGGATTCCTTGAACCCCCTGACTTCCCTCCACCCTCTCCCTTGGTTCCTTTATAATATTTCCATTCATGCATGTTAATAAAATCTATATCTCTGATTACTTCCAATTTGTGTATAATATATTATTATTATTATTATTATTATTATTATTAATCTTTATTGCAGTCCAACGACCGATAACATGGGTTCAGAAGAAAATACAGATTCATACAGACAAACCCCCAGGGGAGGGAGACTGAGGCGTTATTTGTTTAGACATGGGTATGTTGATCTTTGATTTGTATGACTACTGAATAATAATAATAAATAGGACTTGGTTTGTGCTTGTGTTACTTAGGATAGGTCTTAGTTGTAATTTTGTTTGATGGGGAAAGGGCTAGGATTACCAATCGGACCCGAAAAAAGCATTGGCAAACCTTTGATGTTGTCAGGGCATGCACCAGCCAGCCGTAACTGAATTAACTATGTAGTCCTATGCATGTCTACTCGGAAGAAAATCCTGGCAAGTTCAATGGGACTGACTCTCAGGTGAATGCCTGCAGGTCTACAGCCTTAATGTGTGAATGGATTCACCCAAGGTGAAATTACGTACGCTTGGCCTGTGGATTTGAAACCACATCATATTCATGCAAGACTAAAAATACGGTGGTTTCAGACTTCTCTAATTAGTAAATCATTCTTTGTTTCTACTGTAATTGCTGTTTACTTAACTCTTAAAGTTATTAGTACACACCCTGCACCAGAGTTCAGGAGGCTATTAATCATGTTTCAAGCAAATCTAATGGCAGAATAATAAGCCTATTGTGAAAGCCCCTCACAGCTAGTTATTAATTGATTATGGAGTGCTGTTTAAAATGTATGAGCTGCTTTGCAATTCTGGACAAGTATCAAATAATTTTCACATCTGCCTGGAAAAGGTCATTCTGAATGCTCATGATCTGAACAATAACAAAAAAATACATCTTTATCTACTGCCATCACAAACATATATATCACATACGATTTGATCACATTGGACAAGGATAGGCAACCTGTGTTGCGTTTTTGAGAACCACATTGCCTCAAAGGCAATCAGTTGAGGGCCACACACAGACTTTGGGGAGGGACTAAAATTAGCAGTATGTAAGGATAGACAGGTTTGTCAATTTTATTTTCTTTCAGCTTCTCATCTTTCCAATGCTGAGTTCATTTCTTCACATTTCGACATGCATTTGTGATTTTGAAAGAAACAAATCTGCATGGAAATTCAACAGCATTTTAATGTGAATTTTCTTCTAACAAGCATGTTTCTCTGCAATGTCTCCTAATATACACACTTTTGCAAAACAACCGTCCCCTAATATAAAGCATTTTTGTATGTTGCTTTCACTGATATATGCAATTAATTTTTTTTAGATTATTATTATCAATCTATAGATAGATCGCAAGGGAATGGGTGAAATATAATAAAAGCAACTTTAAAAAAACCAGTTAAAACAACACCCAAAAAACCAGGATATGTTTTGAAAAATACAAAATGAACACCCATGACAAAGACCTGTTCATCCAACTGAGAAGCCTTGTTGACTTATGCTCATTTTTACCCTAGTATATGCATTTTTCTGAACATTACGTGGCTGGATAAATCCCATCTTCAGCTCAAGCTTCACAGAGGAGTGAGAAACCGTTTTTGCCTGAGTGCCCAATTCTTATCTGGTTAATCCACTGTGGGTCAAGTGGGTGAGTCCAAAGGATGGTGCATTAAATACAAATCAAAGTTACCCGTATTTTCCAATGCAGAAATCACACATGCAGAAATCACATATATGAAATGGGGGGTGGGGGGTGGGTGGGGAGAGATTTGAATAAGACATCCAACAAATTATCCATTGCCACTGTAAAGAAACAAATATTTATGCATACACAGAGAAATGCAAAGGTCCCTGTTTCAAAATATGAGTGAATAAGGGTCCTTGCCAAATTAACAGTAATAGCTGTCCAATTAAGCCCATTTCAAATCATGCTTCTTCAGAGAATGGAGGGGGAAATGAGTAAAGAGCTGTCAACGATGCTTTAGTACACCCAGGGTGTCCGAAGTAACACCATTAAGCCCTTAACTATGGATGCTCTTGAGGGAGGGAGGAGTAATCGACCGTGGTGGGGAGTTGTGGAGGGAAAATGAGAAGTGCCTGGCTGAGCTATTAAACCCATTCTTTAGCCACAGAGGGGATAATCAACATCAAGCTTTGCTGCAGCAAAACAGAAACAATCGCTTAAGCAGGTGACACCGAAAGATGCCCCTTGATTGACAACTTTTCTGACACCTCCTGCTTAAAACCCAAAAAGCCAGAAGGAGCGTGAGGCCCCGCTTTCACGGTCTGTATTCGTACTGAAAATCAAGATCAAGCGAGCTTTTGCCCTTCTGCTCCGCGGGAGGTTTCTGTCCTCTTTGAGCTCGCCTTAGGACACCTGTGTTGCGGTTTGACAGGTGTACCGCGCCAGCCAAACTCCCCATCTGACGCTGTCCCCGAGTTTGGCCCTGTGAAGAGACATAAGAGGTGTAGAATAAGTGGGAGGCCTCAATGATCCTCTGCGACCAGTTCCAGTCAGGCTGGCAGACAGCAGTCCTGAACACTCTTCAGAAACTGGGTTTTACCCCACAAGCCCTTCTAAGTCTGGGGTTGGAACAGGCAAAAGCTATGGTCAGGCAAAGAATCATAGACACCAAGAGACAACAGGACTGCTCAAGGTGCCCAGACTATAAAATTGGAAAAACCGAGAGAGAGATAGCCGCACTGGCAGCATATCTCTTCTTTCTCGTATCAAAAAAGGCAAGAAGGGCTTTTACACTCGTCAGAAGCTCGGCTTTGCCCTCACCGGTCCTGGAAGGATCCTTTAGAAAAGTCACATATGCTCAGAGACTTTTTGCCTGTTCATTGGGGGAGATAGGAAGCCCAGAGCACTTGTTCTTTAGATGTCCCTTTTATGAAGAGGCACGTAGTAAAACCATTGATCCCCTACTGGTGAGGCTCGCCGACCTCCAGGAAAAGCAAAAATTTGACCTTTTCCTGTTAGGCAAAGATCATAAGACGACCCGGATGGTTGCCAGATTCTGTGTACAGATCTGTAGGCATAGACCATCCCCCGACCCAAACTAGTTCGTTAAGAAAATCCCCAAACTCGGTTCCATGGGTGACTCTGGGTCATCTCTCTGCGGCAGCTCATCTTAAAGTTTTAAGGGTCGATACACTTATTGCATTTATAAATTTTAAATTTATTGTTGTACATTGTTTTAAATGGTTGCTTTCCTTCTGGGATTGTACCCCAAAGTGTGTTTTATAAGCTGGTCTCCGACCGTAATAAATTATCTATCTATCTAGGTGGGAGGCCTGTCCGGGTTGCCGGTGAAACATACCACTACTCTGATGATTTTTTCACTTATTCGGTGAGGCGGGGGGGCAGAGCCCCGAGGGGCTCTCGCTTCTGGCTGCAAGTGATCTGCAGGTATCCTAAAGCGAGCTCAGGGAGGACAGATCTTGATTTTCACCTTGATTGACAAGTTTGCATGGTTTGGCAGAAATGGCCTGGCCAGCCAAGATTGGCACAAAGGCTAAAGTTTCCCACCTCTGCTTTATAGCATGCTAGGAAGTCCAAGATGTATCTGCATGGTAAAGTTGGGGAGAAGAGACAATAATAAATAATAATGATAATTTTTTATTTATACCCCGGCCTTCCTGATTCAGAAAACCGGGCTCAGGGTGGCTAACAACAAATTTAAAATGCTTAATTGATGCAACAAAAAACAGCATAAAATGCAGTATAAAATGTGAATAACAATAAATTCAGAATTCAAAAATCAATTTAGGGGGAAATCCATCCAATAAACATTAGATGATCACCAGGGCTAGCTGGCTAAATTAGTTCTATTTGGGCCAGCGAGGAGACCAGGGAGAATTAGCTGTGGGATCCCAGAGAGAAGAGTTTGGATTTGATATCCCACTTTATCACTATCCAAAGGAGTCTCAAAGCGGCTAACAATCTCCTTTCCCTTCCTCCCCCACAACAAACACTCTGTGAGATGAGTGAGGCTGAGAGACTTCAGAGAAGTGTGACTGGCCCAAGGTCACCCAGCAGCTGCATGTGGAGGAGCGGAGATGCGAACCTGGTTCCCCAGATTACGAGACTACCACCATTAACCACTAATCTTCATAAAAAAGGGAGGGAGAGGGAAGGAAGGGGAATAAAAGATCAGGCTAAGTTCAAATTGAAAGCCAGGTGGAATAGCTCTATCTTACAGGCCCTGCGGAAGGAAGTTAAATCCTGCAGGGCCCTGGTCTCATGGGACAGAGCATTCCACCAGGTCGGAGCCATCACTTTGAAGGCCCTGGCCCTGGTGGAGGATAATCTGACTTCCTTAGGGACCAGGACCTCTAAACTATGATTATTCATGGACCTTAAGGTCCTCTGTGGGGCATACCAGGAGAAGTGGTCCCTTAAATATGAGAGCACCCCAAATAAGAACCACCAAAAGCTTCTCGTAAACACCAAAGCACACATTTTTATGCAACTGCACGTCAAACATACAATTTTGGGAGAGTGCAGTTGGGTATAGAGAAGCATTAATGGTGGGAGATATGCTTCGCTTCCCCCTCCAGACCACTTTTCAATGGGTGCACCTCTCTGCTGAGTTCCCCCACTAGACTGAGTTAAACCCACCTTTTACAGTGAACAGAGCGTATTCACACATTCTGAAACAATATGCGAAGCAAACACAGCCTTTCTCTTAAATTCGCCCACCTCTGAATTTTGTAGTGCAGTTCTCCAGCCACGTAAAGTGTACAAAAATGTACCGTATATATTAGGTAAAAGTGTGCATTTAAAATATCACACGTATTAGTGAAAATAGCATATCTGTCCTGAATAAACACAGAGAAAAACTTGGTTACAGAATCCAAATTGCAACATGAATATGTAAGTGAGGCAATGCAGAATCCTGCAGGCTTTTGATTTCTTTTGATTTCTTTCTTACTGGAGCAAAGTTTTCTCTTTGCTTAGAGAATGTCCCTTCCATTTATAGGCACGGCATCAATACATGTCCAAGAAAAGGGCAGCCTGAAACAATCAACCGGTATCTTGTTACCCAGCTAATGGCCAATAAGCCTTATTTTTTTGACTTTTATAAAGAAGCAACGCAAAGGTTATTTGTTTCTTACTTTCTTCACCCTGTATTTTTCTGGCAATTTTCTTAATGTTCGAGCCCTTCTAGGACGACATGACACCTGAAATTAGATTTCTCGAGTCGTAATGTAATAAAACTCACGACAAAGCATAGCCTCTAATCTTATTGCACTGCCTGGTGTGTGTATGAGAGCAATGTTTATCGTAAATGATAGATCCAATGTAGAATAGACATTTCTCAAACTTTCTATGTTTCTGAATAAGACAAGGATTGAAGCCTGGGCTTCCTCTAGACTATTCAACCAAAGTTTCAGTACCCATGTTCAGTCGTGGACAGCATGGTGGGACAGATTAAAGTGCGGCTTATATTTGCGACCTTACACTGCTGGCAAAGTGGCGTTGCTCCCCACACCCCCCGAGAGCAATCCGGGAGCACAGGGCAGTGGCGTGCAGCCCACCCGCTGCTTCCAAGCCTCCCCCAAGCTGCCGTAAGAAAGGGGAGGAGACTATGACAAAGCAGCATGGGAGTGTGGGGCAACGGCATGCAGCCTGCCTGCTACTCCCAAGCCTCCGCCAGCGCCGGTTTGGGGAGGTAGTGCTGAGAGATAGTAGTGCCAGGATTTTGAATGGTAAAGGTGCAGCTTATTTGCAGGTGTGTCTTATATTCGGGCCAATACGGTATTCCTTGAATCATGTTGTCATGTTACTATATTTTTCCATGTATAACACTCCCCAGTGTATAAGATGACCTCTATTTTAAAGGTAAAGGGACCCCTAACCATTAGGGGTCAGTGGCCGACTCTGGGGTTGCGGAGCTCATCTCGCTTTATTGGCCGAGGGAGCCGGCGTACAGCTTCCGGGTCATGTGGCCAGCATGACTAAGCTGCTTCTGGCGAACCAGAGCAGCACATGAAAACACCCTTTACCTTCCCGCCGGAGCGGTACCTATTTATCTACTTGCACTTTGATGTGCTTTTGAACTGCTAGGTTGGCAGGAGCAGGGACCAAGCAACGGGAGCTCACACCGTCGCGGGGATTCGAACCGCCAACCTTCTGATCAGCAAGTCCTAGGCTCTGTGGTTTAACCCACAGTGCCACCCGCATCCCTAGTGACCCCTATCTTAGGGGACTCCAAATTAAGGAAATGTGGGGAGATTGTCCAGAGTTGTTGAGCTTTTTTTAGGGGGATTGCATAGAGTTGTTGAGCTTTTGTTTTTTGGGGGGGATTGCCACCAATCAACCACCCAATTCACACAGCAGCAGCCAATCGACATCAGGCCTTGCCGCAGCCACCGATCACCCGCCCAATCGCCGCTGACAATCTCCTGCTCGCAGCTGACAAAAATCACCCACCCTCCTTCTGAACTATCCCCATATAAGACGGCCCCCAAATTTTAACATTTATTTATAATAATAAAAATCATCTTATACTCAGGAAAATACAGTATATCTGCAAGGAAAATAATTGCTCCTTTAAACATATGTGTTGTCCATACTCCCTCCCAAACACCTTCGTTGCTCTTTTTTTTCTTTTCCTTCTGTTCCCACCCCCCTCAAACAAACTGTACTATTCTCCATGTGCCTGACGAGCTGCACTTTCAGGCCAAACTGTATTCCGATCACACTTACCCAATTACGACGACGCTGTTTTAAAATAATCAAATGCGGGTGGAGGAAGTATTCAGAATGAACTATCAAGGGAAGGTAAGCTGCTGAAAGCAACTGTTCTCAGTTAAATGAACAGAGACCATCTGGAAGAGCTTGTGCTTTGTGTGTGGCTTAAGCTGGAAGGAGAAGAAGAAGAAAGCTTAATTCAGCCACCTGACACTTCTAAGAAAAGTGACTATCATGCAGCTGCTGCTGTTTGCCTTCTCAGTACTGCATTTCAGAATTGCAGGCATGCTTCCAATCCGTAAGTCACACAGTTCAGATGGCTGTCTCGATAAGAGGGATCATGTCCCCAGATAATGTGACGTGCACAAACACACCTACAGAAGGTGGAAGGGTTTGCTTTCAAGGAGCTGCAATCAATACAGTTTTTCATACCGGCCCAAAGTACCTTGAGTCATTATGTAGCAGAGCAAATCAGCATATTCCATGAGACATTACACTAGGGGTCAGCAATTTTTTTCAGCAGGGGGCCGGTCCACTGTCCCTCAGACCTTGTGAGGGGCCGGACTATATTTTGAAAAAAATAATGAACGAATTCCTATGCCCCACAAATAACCCAGAGATGCATTTTCAATAAAAGCACACATTCTATTCATGTAAAAACACACTGATTCCCAGACCACCCGCGGGCCAGATTTAGAAGGCGATTGGGCCAGATCCGGCCCCTGGTCCTTAGTTTGCCTACCCATGCATTACACACTCTGCAAAGGGGCTGCATGATCTTGGGGGCAGGGAGTTCTGTACTGGAGGTCTTGCAAAGCCTTCCAAGTCTTTGTGAGTTCATCCACTTATTCTCAAATGTTAGATTCAAAGGGAAACGGGATCCCTCCCTAACTGGCAGTGTGTGGTGTGTGTGTGGGTATTATTTGACTTAGGAGAACTGATTAACAGCATTTATTTTATTTCTTGTTGATACTAATATTTTATAAATATATATAAACTTCCAACTCATAAAAAATCACAATAAAAATCATGAAAACATCATAAAATGATAAAATCATAAAAATAGAAATTATGAAATGCAGCCAAGTGACAAACACAAATTAATTCTCCGAAATTGCTTAGTGAAACAAATACATTTTCAGAAGGCAATGAAATATCAGGATTGTAAGACACCTGTCCAATTTCCATAGTAACAGCGCTAGTCTCACTACACTAGAAGCCTTGGTTCACACTGAAAAGAAGCAAATATGAGATGACTGTCCGGAGAGCTTCTCCAGATGATCATAGTGATCTGGTCCATGTATGAGGGACGTTTAATTAATTAAAGCTATAGTCTTACACTAGGGACGTGGGTGGTGCTGTGGTCTAGACCACAGAGCCTAGGACTTGCCAATCAGAAGGTCGGCGGTTCAAATCCCCGTGATGGGGTGAGCTCCCGTTGCTCGGTCCCAGCTCCTGCCAACCTAGCAGTTCAAAATCACATCAAAGTGCAAGTAGATAAATAGGTACCGCTCTGGCGGGAAGGTAAACGGCGTTTCCATGCGCTGCTCTGGTTCGCCAGAAGCGGCTTAGTTATGCTGGCCACATGACCCGGAAGCAGTACGCCGGCTCCCTCGGCCAGTAACGTGAGATGAGTGCCGCAACCCCAGAGTCGGCCACGACTGGACCTAACGGTCAGGTGTCCCTTTACCTTTACCTTTATAGTCTTACACTGGTTTTGCAAAATGGCTGATTTGCTCTGCTTACATAATGACACAAGGTATTTTTGGCCGGTATGAAAAATTGCTAACATATTACAAGCATTGTTTTTATTGAATATTGTGTGTTTTCTTTTTGAGATTTTGCTTCTGAAGGACTGACCTATGTCACACCATCAGAACAATCTGTTGTGTTCAAGCACTCTGTTGGACCTATGGAGGAAGGAAGTTCCAGCTTAACTCTGAAGTGGCCAGTAAACACACCTGCCCTTTCGTTCTTCTCACTGCCCATAATCACTACAAATGACAAATATTTCATAATTTCAGGGTTGTCAATGGCACAATAGCAAACTGATCTGAAAATTGGTCAGAGGAAGCATAGGTATCTTTTGAGGAGCGAGTTGCAGGTTTAGCTTGCAGTGCTCATCAATTACAACAGTATGACATATTTATTGTCATTAATAGGTTTGTTGCTCATCTAAGAAGAATGGCTAACTAAAATTGTATCACAGAATTAATTACTACAATTGATCTCACAGGTTTTACTTTCCAGTAAACAGTGGTATAGTGTTAGCACAATTTATGCTTCTGAAACACTGTTCCTCTTTGTCTATGGCTTATTTACATGAAGCATTGCAAATACATTGGCCTGCAATTATGTCTCTGCAATGTAATGGATTTTTAGTTAGCAGTCAAATGGGGAGCAGGTAGCTAACACTATCACTGACAGGCGCATCAATGCAGTAAGATATTAAGAAGAACAATATTACAAAGGCTTAAAAGACTTCCTCCCTTCTGTTTGTTGGCCAAGATAAGTTTTTCAATCAGCTTAAATTTGTCCAAGAAAGTGAGGCAAATGTCTTCTAATGTAAGGTTGTGATTCGAGGACCCGATCCCCGCTTGGGGAATAAAGACACGTGGACACGGTATATTAGGTTAATGGGCAAGAAAAGGCCACAACTTTATTGATTACAGCATGTGAGAAGGTATTGGCTTAGGCATTGGACCACGGACAAAGACTCCACCCACTCGGAGAGGGGTGAGTCTGAAGAGGGGTTAACCACCAGTTGGGGGAGCCTGTTGATGCTAATACAACTATAAGCTCTCCCCCTATGTCACCGAGGGTCGTGCCATGGCCCCCTGCCACACAGGCATCGGACAGGATCTACGACCCCGGATTCCTTTAACGGAATACCCAAAATTGAAGGGGTAGGCGATGGCCACACCTTGCCCTTCCACACACCAACAACACATTCCAATGCCTAACCGCCACCTGAGCCCAAGAAAATGTGAGCGCAATGGTGTGAAATGGCTGGCGCGGCCGCATTTGAGTGGCAAACCACGCCCCCTCTGCGCCTCCCAATTGGGTGCCCAACTGGGGGGCGTGGCACGCCAGCCATGAGGATGGGGCAGGGGGCAGAACGCCCCCTGCATGACGCGGGAATCGTCTCCCGCTCACAACACCTCCCCTCCGGAAGGAAGAGAGGCCTTATCATACGTCTGGACATGTCCAGGATTTAGCAGGTGAAAATAGAGTCAGGGGGAATTTTGGAAAATCCAGCAAACAACTTTCGGTTTCTTAAAACAAGAAAGCTCATCAACGTTTGTGTCCTCAATTTTACTTCTAGAAATATGGCAACCCTATCTAATGGAGTTGCGTTGTGAGAGTTGTGAGAGGAAAGAGTGAGACATTATTAAGTATGATTATAAAGAGGAGAAAGCTCATTAGTATTAAAATATTTTTAAAAAATTGGGGAGTTTCAGAAATACTATAACTACGGAAAGCAAAAGAACAAATAGAGCCTGTTTCAACTGCGTGTCAGAAATGTTAAGCTGTTCCATAAATAGTAATGCATAAGGACAAATATTCCTTCTGTAAGGTGCTGGGTAAGGGATATGCATTTCAAACTGTGACTCCCAGCTGTCATGCTCTGCCAGCTTATCTTCAATACTACCAACGCTTTGTTTACACAGCAATCTTTACGGACTAATCTAGGCTATAGTACCACCGCAAGTGAATACTCATTGCTACTATTTCCAAAGGAACCTATAAAGTTCTATAGAGTTTCTTAGTCTGAGCAAGCCCAGCATTCTGTTTTCTACAGATCCTGGGCTCGACTGCACTGGATGCCAGGATCCATGCCCTGTGACTGGTAGGACCTCGCAGGACTGGGGCCTTCCTGAGTTTGGTCTGGAAGGGCAAGGCACGGCCGCACAGGTGAGGCTTAACAGAAGACTCAGAACATCTGGTGGCAAGGGCTGGGAGGGGTATATAAGGCCAGCATTTTCCTCTGGCTCTTTGCCATAGCATCATGCTACCCACCTAGCTGTGCTTTGGCTTCCTGACTCCTGGTTTCCTGACTATTGGACCCTTGACTTCCTGACTCCTGGTATCCTGACCCTTGGACTCTTGGCTTCCTGACTCCTGGTTTCCTGATTCGTGGACTCTTGGCTTCCTGACCCCTGTACTGCAGATTCCTGCTTCCCGACCCTCTACCCCAGTCCCGACATACCAAGCCGGGACTCTGACTGCCCATAACCCAGATCATGACACTCACTTCCCTCTACAGCATGTGTAGTAAGCACCTTCTTGATCATTGAAGCCACTATTGGTCTAATCTGCTCAATCCACTAGTTCAGGGGTCAGCAAACTTTTTCAGCAGGGGGCCGGTCCACTGTCCCTCAGACCTTGTGGGGGGCCGGACTATATTTTTTTTTGGGGGGGGAATGAACGAATTCCTATGGCCCACAAATAACCCAGAGATGCATTTCAAATAAAAGGACACATTCTACTCATGTAAAAAACCACTGATTCCTGGACCGTCCGTGGGCCAGATTTAGAAGGTGATTGGGCCGCATCCGGCCCACAGGCCTTAGTTTGCCTACCATGTCTTTACATGAGGTGGAAGTTCCTATCTCACTGAGGGTTTGGGATCCATCAGCTGCCCTCACCTGGTTTAGCTAGCCTTGCTATGAGGAAGGACCAGTGAGCTTTTAAATATATTTAAGCATGGTCATAGCTGGGGGAGGGGAGGGGGCAGCTTCCCCCAAATCAATTAACTAAATGAAAACTAACTAACTGACCAATTGTGTCACAGATAACTTGGTTCTGCCCCCCTAACATAAAGCCTGAAAACCCCTCCCCCCAAAAATCCTGGCTACGCCCGTGTATTTAAGCAACCTTTCGCCACTTTATGATCATAGTGATCAAAACTAATTTTATTTCTGTGGTGCTTGGATTCTTTACATAAAACAAACCAACAAGCAAATGAGATTCCAGGCAAAGTCCACAAGGAATTCTGGCATCAGCTCTGTAAACAACAACAGCCAAACCAAACTGTACAATGAATACCATTGAAATACAATATTAAAACCTGTGATTTAAAATGGGGAAATGTTCTTAGTGAACAAGCAGCACCTGGAAAATAAAAAAGAGGGGAAAAATGGGGAATAGAAACTGAGATCCAG